TATTCAAAAACTACCGGAAACGTTTGCTCCATTCACAGAGGTGTAAATCCTACTCCAATGGTAATTTTGCTACTAGCATCAACAAGTCTGTGGTTTCTAACCTTATCACGTGAGACGAGAGTGTCAGACAAAATTTCCACTTATCAGCGGGTGCACTGACCACTTCCTACATCAAGTGCTTGAGCAGCGTCACACTGTGGCAGCTTTTCCTAGCCCGAAAGAAGCCTTCGACTCCTTAGATGGATCAGCTCTTCTGCATATACGTGACCAAGAGGAACGTCCTTGACTCCCAAAATTCTTTCCACCATGATCTCTATACATTTGTATGTGGGTTTACAAGAAACTATCCAAACTTCCCACAACCATTGGTTTCACCAGGAATGTTCTGTCTCCATTCTTGTCCAGCTTGTTCACTGACGTCATCCTGCAGTATACTCTTCAAGGCGTGTCAGAATAACATCTCGAGAACGATTAGTAGACTTAGATTATGGGAATATTGTTTTATTATTTGATTATCATGCGTCTGGGATATCCACATAGAGTGTCCACAGTGGTGTCCTGCTTCAGAATATCGTTTGTATCTGCAAAGTGCAAGGCCTTAAATCAGGACTCCTCATTCCTATGTATCATTTCGATGCTCCGAAAAATAGAGCTTAGTTCGTTGATATATTCGCTTGCCATGGCAGCTGCATAAGCCATAACTGCACTGTGATAAATGAATGAACGGGCAACAGTTGCCACCTTGCGTCGCGTTGGGAGTCAGAAACGATCGTTGAGATAAAAGGGTCGTTTCTACAAAAGGACCGTGGGAGCAGTCCTCTCCGCCTAACTGTGAAACTTGACCTCGTACTATCCAAAGACCTCAAACGTCTTCAGGTATTTGCTCATCACAAACTAGTATAGCAGGCGTAAACTGGCTACACCTTCCACATTATTAACCGGTCCACAAGCGAGTACTGGCTAATGAGACGGATTCATTCGAGCAGCAGATAGGGCTTATGAGATCAAGGCAGTTAGGGAGTGTAGTTATTTGTGCTCGACTACCGCGAGCTTGCTGTCACTTCTTAACCACACTACCTAGATAACACTTGTTTTTTTTTGTTATCTGCTAGGTTTGTGTTGGGTAAAGTTCGTAAGGGACGTTTGGCCAATCACTTAAAGAATCTTGCTCCATCGTGATGCTTAGATGTTTATCTCATTGGTTTTGGAAGGTTTGGACATCTTTGCTTATTAACGCTTTCTCTAGGAACATAGGGCTTCTTACTGTAAGTTCCCACACTTTCTTTTTCACTAATGATTAGGCTCTTTAATAGCTGTATGACAATTAAACACCAGTTTCCACTATCATTGTCCGTCTCTCCGCGATGGTAATGAGAATAACTCGGACAAACGCTAGACCAGCAGAGTAGGTATATGAACTTAAACCAAGCTTCAGCGGTTTTTCTGACATTTCTGCTGTCCATGTTCTCTCAGCTGGCTTGATTGTGCAAAGGCATCCTCGAACAATAGCCATATGGTACTGGGGATGTCGGTCGCCCACAAATTTCCATGTTGCTTCACGGTTACCTCTCATATACAGAGCTCCATGTATGCTACGAGGACTAAGTGTTGCTACGGTGGAGAGATTCTTTGGCGTTTTTAGTGCTTTCTTTATTTCTTGTCTAGATGGCTAAAAATCCACTCTGAATTTGTAGAGCTAAAAACATAAGTAGTTCTATTGGGACTAATGAATTAGGGAAGCCAGTAGTCGCCTATACGCTATATGGGCATGTATTACTTTCTGATTGCCCAGGAGGCAGAGGGAGGTTTGTTTAAGGTACCCCACCTTAAGCCTTTTACTCAAAAGTCCGACCCACGAAGCAGTGGGAGATGGTAAAGTTTTCTTTGTGGTTCTTTCCATAGCCTGAATTGACAGTCTGACCGGCAAGTAAACAGGATTTACGTTTTTTTCGAGGGATCTAGTCTGACCAACTTGGTTGTGGACGTTTGCTTAGCCTGGGGGCGCATGATTCTTAATGCGGTTACGCACAGGGTCAACTGTTATGCGATTGGATTGTGCGGCGCTTAAGGGTGGTCTCTCACCCGTCCTTCGGGGGAAGGTAGCTTTGCTACTTTCATAAATACGAACATATTGACCACCTGGAGGGGGGCAACTTATTGCCTTCATACTCCTGTTGCAGAGGACAGTACAAATTCACACGCAGACCGATTGTCGTATGATCTGCCGCTTTTCGTTGGACCACTGAGTCTGAAATGGTCTGCGGTTTCGAGCAGTGGAACAGAAACTGGGTGACTTCCCTCTGGGTTTTCTATGCCGATGGCGTTTCATAGGCAGTAGAGTCGGGTATTCGTGGGACCGAGTCATACCCTGGATGAAAGTTGCCCTAGAGGAAAATTGTCTAATTGCCCAGTATAGTCCAACCGTTGCATCGTGATAAGACCTCCTTTGCATCATATGAGAGCGGAATTATATGCTACTTTGAGACTTCCCGGGCATTTATAGTCTCCAGACAAAGGTGTACTAAATTTAAAACACCGACAACCGTAGTTCCTAGCTGCTGTTTTCCATTACAGTCTAAGCTAGTTAGAAACGTCGTAGTTGCAGGCGAACAATGCATTGCGGAGGTTTTCGACCACGTCATCATCATCATCATCAAAGACGGCAACATCAGTGTTGGCACTGATGCTTCACTGCCGTACAACCATAAGGTTCGTCGACCACGTGTGAATGTTAGAAGTTCGGTACCTGGAGGAAGTGTCCAACGGTGAGATACGGAATCTATTACCCGCTGCACCTATCGTAGCTCTTTCACTTATGACATCTAGAGTGGTTTGGGCATTTATTGCACAAGGACAACGCTGAAACTTCCCAAGAAACCTTGACTCAAATAATGTCAGATATAGTGTCTCCTTAGAGGACAATCGGATAAGTGGCTTACTATGTTCGGGAACAATATTGAGCAACTTGATCTTCACGCAGTCAACAGATCGGTCAGTGGAGCCAGCATTAGGTGATTTCTGGCTTTTTTTCGCTGTATGTGGGAAACTTTCGTTCGAGATATTATTGTGCCGATTTATTATGGCCCAGAAGAGAGTCGCTTAAACGTAAAGACAAGCGAGCAGTCTATAATCGACATTATAACATATTTCTCAATAGATTAGATAGCTGGTGAGGGGCAGCGACGCTGTCTTGACGGCGGCTGATGAATACAAATTACGGTTAGCGGCATCTGCACTTTTTAAGTTTCCCAGACACCTAGTTTACTCGCCAATACAAAAGCATTTTGGGAAGCTTCGCAATGTACTAGGTCTAAAGATAACTATATTTTCAGCTTCAGAGTTGATGACCAAGTATTGCGTGGAATATTACGTCCCAGGTTTAGCGGAGGAACTCCGCATTTGAATACGGTAAGATTAAGGCGAAAAATGAGCGGGAGACAATGCTGGACACAGTCATATAGTGAACCCAAGCGGGAGCTTATGGTCATTGTTGCTGCAATAGACAACTTGCCGTAGAATTTTATACGCTCACATTAGTCGATGTATTTTCAGAAGAGGCAGTAATTGACGTTGGACAGTAGCGACACTCGCGGAAATGGCGTGTGGTGATTGTATGAGTCGAATTCAGCCATTGTTAATCACTGCTGCTGCTACTCAAATATATGTATTAAAGTGAAAATGTACAATCAAGATATATTGATGCATGGCGAGACTGAGCTTGACCTGCAATTAGTGATACTGTGCAACGTAATACCAAGGAACGCTTTACATGTCACCTACGAGGCTGATTCTACGTTAGTTTCGGACGAGGTTCTCGTACGTAATAAGATCATGATGCCCTTAAGTTTTCGGTAAGTAATTTGCCATAGTAGGGCTGGTCACCGTTCTCTCAAAAAGGGTATGGTCTAAATAATCCAGACTCCATACTTTTTTCGCCTAAGGGCAAAATTGTACAACGTTTCTCTGTTGCAGGCAAACATTTGTATCCACGTCTATTCACTAGTACCACTGTACCTAACACACAGGACATCGTAATCACTTCAAGCGACATGCTCAACTTCTTAGGTATCTAACATATTACAGTTGAGTAAACTGCTTGTTGAGGCGCATGTAGAATTTCATCGAACGAGTTATAATGATCCACCTACCGCTCGCACTTCCCATTATATTGTACTGAATTCACACACCTAAATGGGTTTGGCACCGAAACTCAAGAAGCAGTCAGCCGATATCCCTCTCGACTTCAGCTTATTGTTTTGTCCGATGTTTCACTGAAGGCATTTCTGAGTGATCTCATAACGCAGATCACTTTGCTACACAAAGTCCTAATTAGGTATGACTGCCTCTTGTTGCCCACTTGTTGTGCCGGTCACACAAAACGGTACTTTCTCCTTAGCTTCTGCTTTTTTGCTGCCCGTCTGTGCTAATATTGTCATCATTGCTTTCGTTTCCACACTAATGACAATCGGGATCTTAGTGACATTCAAAATTCACTCAAGACTATTAGACACCTTATACTGATGGTCCTGTGCTAATATTGTCATCATTGCTTTCGCTTCCACACTAATGACAATTGGGATCTTAGTGACATTCAAAATTCACCCAAGACTATTAGACACCTTATACTGATGGTCAGCTTGGCTTTCCGCCCCTCCATTTTTTCTTCAAGAGACCTTCGCCTTCTCTAGGCCCCAAAGAAATTCCAAAAGCCTTCAGCCATCTCGGAGTGGCACTGTTGGTCGACAGGAACTCTAAAAGTTTTGGACTGATTAGTTCTGGAGAAAGTCCAATTCATCCATGCTACACCCTTGATGTGCAGCCAGTTAACAAACACGTTCCGAATGCCTAACCAGACTGACTGTCAAAGCTTCAGATCAAACTGACAGCTTAAATGCTTATTTTTCGAGGACTCAAATTGAAGCTGTTCTGAGATTTTATCGCTTTTCTATTTTCAGGCTATCTAACATTGTATATCTGCTAAGCATCCTGATTGGAGAATTATGCGACTGACAGTTCCAAATGGATTTCGGCGTCTTCACCCTACTCCATTCGTTTTCAGAGTGGTGGACTCACCAAACGCTGGGCATCATTACCGACTGGGTTATCGATATAGAATTGAACGATTCTGGATGCTTTTTACTGATAACTCCAAAGAACTTGTGCCTCCAAACTGGCCAGAGGAGAAGGACCTTCGGAAAATGGCTAATCCTATCACCCTGTACATTGTCCCGGAATGGCAGGGCCCAATGAAAGATTATGCTCACCCTCATCCTATTGGCGAAAGTAAGTAAAATGTATTTGTTTTTGGACTCTACTCACCACTGTTGTCCACCACATTCCGTCTTTAAGAGGGAACTTGTTACTTTGACTATTCATTGACGTCTATGAATGTTTGTCCTGAACTGAACATCGAAAGTTTGAAAGTTCTGTCATTCATTATATGTGCGGTGGTTCTTAACTTGGAGGTACGTAACGGCTGACTCGCATTTAGGGGTAACGCATCTGACCACCCATATCACTGTTTCATACGATGGTGCAAAACTATCTGAACTCGTGATGCCTCTGTATCAGCACATTCTCGCGTTTTCGGGATTCACTTACTTAATCCAGTTTGCCTGAATAAACACGTACTTTTTTAAGTTTATGACAATTCTGTTTCCTGTTGCTTGGTGTTGCCGACTCCATCCTAGTGTTCGTTCGGCCGTCTGCTCTATCAGAAAATCGATGTTTTGAAAAGTGCTTATCGTCATTCACTCTCCTTCTCTCGTTTGCTTTATCTCCTTTGCTTTGTCCGCAAAAACGGGGTTAGAGGACAACATTAAGGTTGACAGATATCTGTTTGTTTTTCCTGGGGAGTTTCTGAAACTGTTCTCATTAGCTCTTGGATGTCGTGTGAGTCGACGTTTTGGCCTTTACTCTTTGGGTCATGGCACGTAGTTTAATGCCGTGCTTCACACCCTGGTTCGTTGTACAGCGTTCAAAAATGTCACCTCCACTTCTGGTAAGTTTTCTCAACCCGTCAGGAGCCTTATCTGTTTATCAGGTTTCCTCAATAGATGCGTCATTTAAAGTACACCTCGAGGTATCCGAGGAAACCGCCCTTCAACAGAGACCATTTTCAGTCGGTGAAGCTTCTGTCGAACTTTATGACTCTGGAGTGATCGTCCTCCAATTCGGATCATGGGTTGGTTTTCTGATAAGAGCTCAAGATAGCTCAGTGGTTAAAGTGCCAGCTTGTGGCCCAGAAGGTCTGTGGCTCAATCCCAACCTCAGCATCTCAACTGCTCTTGTCTAGACCTGGACAACCTTTCAGTATCCTAGCCCACGTGTCTCCTTCAGTTGGTATGGTAGCTAGGCACCGAAAGAGTGCTACTGCTAAACGATTATCATTTTTTCTGGACGAGTTTATATCAAAATACACCCCCTAGAGAAGGCTGAAAACTTCTCTTGATTTATCTGACATGCAACTGAATGTCCTGCTGTTCCTTAGTATTGTTGGTCACGCATGTTTTCCCGAGTCAGATTATTGGTCTGATCAGCTGGTCTTACTTGCAGCCGCGCCTGCGCTATGACAGTGATCTGTCTACAAAACCAGTTCGCTCGCTGTACTGGGTGTCCTTGCGATCTCTATTTTTATCGCGCCGAGCCCCATTGTGATTAAAGACTGTGATTACATCGAATGAATAAATGCCGTCCGAAATTTTGATGGGAAATGTCAAAGGCGGATTCGTTTCTCCGGGACTGTAAATAAGTTCATTGCGACGGGCAGCACCAGTCACACGAATGTATGACGTCATTGACACCACAACTTACGTAGATCATGGCTCTGTCATCGTCATTGATGGCGACACCAGTATGAGGATGCTGGTGCTTGGCTGTTGTATACCTGTATCAGTTTATCTGGATAATGTCTCACAACGAAGAGAAGAGCGAAAGGAAAAGTGGGTCCTCCACAACCCCCAGAGGTTCTTACACCTTCAGTCATTCATCCCTACAGTCTGGATAGAAACTATTAGCACGAACTTCATTGACGTAAGTTTGGAGTCATATTTTGCAACGACTCCAGCTAGACCCTTGGAAGCGGACGGCACCGACGCTACTCAGGCCTCTCATGATCTCTTTCGTTCCCTTCTGCTGTGTCATGCCTCATCCAGATCTCCGTTCGCCCATCTGAATTTGACTGAGAAAGTGGAAGGCGAGCTAACAAAGCTTCTAGGAATGTAGGCTCCATGGTGTAGATTGGTGGAGACTATAGCGCTGTTTTGCAGTGCATGGTTGATTACGCAAAAATGGGCCACTATTCCGAATGAAGTCTGGTCGCATTTTCATCTTTATCGTGCCTTACATTTTTTCACTACCATTCTTGAATGATTTCTTTGTAAGTAACAATGGTAAATAACTTTACTGATTGCGCTACCGATTCATATACTACTGTGCGATTAACTGATTACAATCCCCATTTCTCTCATTCAATCTCACTGCATCCAGGTTCCTTCCACAAAGCTTTGATATATGTTATTGGATTCGCAGTCAGTTTAGTCAGCCTCAGCGCCTTCAAGTTCTTCGGTTGGTTCTGCAAAGTTGGAATCGTGAGTTATCCCGTTTACTGTGTTATTAGTAGAAATCAGAATCAGCATGTTAGTGAAAGATGCGCATGATCCTATGGCCACCGTCCGGATGATGCTGTCTCTCACTAAGATAAGAGTTCCTTGCGGTTTTTCTAGGCTTAAGTCGCTTGATCACGTTCCTAGGGGTTGGAAATGTCAATGTTCTTCCCCTTTCTCTCTGCCTTCGAGCTGTGTTGATCCTAAGAGAACGAAGTTAATGAATGAAGTCCCTTGTACAGTCTGACTATTCTGGCCAATGTTAAACCACTAGACGGGTTATTTGGGCTCTAACGCTCTCGTTAGCATGCCCAACACATAGCTGTATAATGCAGGTCTTGTCCCGAAATTGACTTACGATAATTGCTGACAGTGTATGCGGTCTATCAACCTACTCTACAGGTACACCAAATGGTTTGGAGGATTGAACCAAAACCGGCAACTGGTTTGCGACTTGTTCTGCCGCGATTGCGGTCACCAAGCAGACATGGCCGCTTGAAGTTCGCTACCCTTGAAAATAACTTGAGAATTCATTTAGTCTTCCTGGAAGAGCAAGAATATCTGAGGATTTAACCAAAACCGGTTTGTGACTTGTTCTGCCGTGATTGCGGTCATCCAGCAGACATGGTCGCTTGAAGTTGGCTACCCTTGAAAATAACTTGAGAATTCACTTAGTCTTCCTGGAAGAGCAAGAATATCTGCTGAACTTCTCATAATAATCTTTGGCTGAGTGTGCTGTACAATGGCCACCTCATGTTTGAGTTGGAACCCTACCCAAGACATCGAACTATTTTTGCGTACTACACTACTCATTATGCTGATGCGAATTCTTCGGTGATAGTTTTCAACACATATGGGTGTAACATTGTTGTACACATAAACGCCCTCTCCATTCACCCTTATCATGTGGATGAGGAGTATTCCAGCACTGAATGAGTTGTGGAAGTAGGATGCCATATATGATGATTGGTACAAACGCGACGGAATCGTACACAGCTACTGTCCACATACATTGTGCCTGCATTTCATGGCCAGAGCAGATTAGTCCTTGTCCGAGCCTGACGGGGTCATCAAATTTCGTTTCTGCCTCGGTACACGAACTTATGGAAGAAATGTGTTGTTCGGTTCTGCGCAATCCAATCCCAGTGCAAATAGCCGAACGTTTGAAAGCCTTGTTTGACACATTTTGAGAAAACTGGAAATGCTCTACCGAATGGTGCCCATCGTTTGATACTTCACAGGTGATGTCGTTAGTGCAGTGTGTACAGGACTGGCCTCAGTCAGTCAGTATTAGGATAAGCTTTGCCACTGTTTTCGTGGTAACAGCTATTGTCAGTTTTATCAAGCCTGAAAAATGACTGAATGGGCGTGGATTGCAGTCGATTTTGTTGGTTCCTGTTGTGTCTGTAATATGTATACCCAGTCGCGGTAAGACATACAGTGGATGTAAAGCAACGGTTTTGAATCGGCACAGCAAGTCAATTCGAAACTTACTCTTTAGGTCTGAAAATATAATTTTACAGCAGCTGTACATTCGTTGGCAGACCGTCTGAGCAACTTGGACATTGTCCAGTCACCACGAGTCGCGAACGAAGTTTTACGTGCCTCAAATGGTAAAAAGGCGATTACAGACGTCACGTGGGTATCACCGTCATATAACCGACCAGCCATCGATCCGTGACTGACATCAGTCGTGCTTCGCATGGATACCGTCGCTACACCTTTGCTACGTGGTTTTCAGTACTTATACTAACCATAGTTACCGTTAGACAGCATATTTCGAGGGGACCGTGGGCAAAAGTACACTGTTAACTTCTCTCGACTTCTCCGTGACCGAGAGCCCAGGAGAGTTAACATAAAACCGAATACGGAGAGGGAAGGGCTCAGTGAGCACAAGTTGCATGTGTGGACAATACATACGTACGACTCGGTAAAATGGTGCCTTCGTATTTTCAATTTATCCGTGTTTTTTGCACCCAAACATACCATTTCAGAATAGAAACTGGTTGATACGCGATATCCCACCTACGTGTTTTCCTGGACCAGTGATTAATCTCCAAGTAAATGTGATTCTTTGTTTCGTTGAGGATATGCGTAGGCCTTGAGCTCCTACTTAAGCCATTATCGGGCATTTTCTAAACGAACATCGCTTCTGGGCTCGGTGCTTACTCTTAGTCCATCATGGACAGCAATACACCATTGGAAGAAGGTTCTAGCGAAGGGTAAAAAGGAAGCGGAAATGTCGGATTTTATCTTAAAAGTCCTATGTCTCCGGGGAAAGCGTCCAAGAGCGAAGTGAACACGTCCTTCAAAATCATTGAGAGAAGTCATGTTGGAGGGGACGCTATCAGTGGAATTGGTCCAACGACCGTTGTGAACCTCACTGTACACAAGCTCAGCACACACCAACGAACGTTAGCTAAGCTAAAAAATGACAGCAAGTCCGCCACTGGGGTCGGTTACCTACCAAGTCCTATAGGGCTTCTAGCTACAGGCGAAGCTACTCACGTGGACTCCACTTAGGAAGGCGCTCAACTCAACGGTAGCTGCCTTCATTCCGCGTTGCCATACCCCCCGCAAGCTTCTTGCCAACGAGGGTTCGGAGTGGACAACACGGTTTTCTTTGGTAGACGATGATCTGGCGTGTGCGATGCATGCTTGATTGCATCCAGCTCTTTCGGTAGCACTCGGTTATGGACCGTGTCGTCACGTACATGTTGGAATTAGCGTGGAGCTAGTCTGGTGGTGTACACAGCTTCGTCTCTGTAGCTAATGGTATTCGAAAGAGTCACTCTGTTCGTCATATGCATGCCGTAGTCGGTGTAGTCAGTGCAGTCGTAGGGGACTCCGTCCTGTTATTTTAGTGTACTTATCCGTTTTGCATTCATTCTTAGCTGCTAGTATGTCAACTTGCTAAGAAAGGTCATGACAGTCCACCGTTTAACTTGCTGACAGCCTTCATTAATTAAGGTTTTGTAGTGCAGCATTTTCTTAATTTGTCCCGCAGTCACACAAAAGTCAGGTTTTTTCACAGCATGTGTCCAAGATTAGCGAACAGAGGAGCCCACGCAGTGAAGAAAAAACCGAGTTAGTCTTTAGTACGGGGATTAAATACCGGCTCGTAGAAACTACCCACACCATTTAACATTGCCTAAGTGGGTGCTCCAGCGCTTCACTGGACCGTCAGCTGCAATGAACAAAAGGTGCAAATGCAGCTATAGTCCCCGTCTTTTTTCATTTCTGTCATAGGATCCTACGCCAGTCAGTTCTAATCGTGGTAAATGCTCCGAGTTCACGGGATGTACTGGGGATCTATACTGGCTACAATTCGAAGAAGACAATTTCTCTCACAGTGACAGTAAAAATAGCTCAGCTTCAGCGTTCAGCGCAGATAAAAAGCAAGCTTTCAGCTCCTCTACTTTCTCTACCCATCCAACATCACATGCAAGACCTCAGCCTACCATCGACCCAGTTCGCAATAGCACTGCGCGGAGATATTGGAGAGCCCGAACAGTTTCGGAATCCGCAACGCACCACCTGGATGCATTTTTATCTCATTCCCCATTCTTCTGGACTAACGCTGCCCTGAATTGTTCTCATTTTACCGACGGGTCTGCTCAGGTAGGTTGCTAAATAATTTTGACTTACCTCTTTCGAAACTTGCCCTCAATTGACTTAATCAGGTCCCACTTACTGGTCTCAATCGAAATTTCATTACATTCCACGTGATTCTTTCTTTCGGGTTTTTCATCGTGTTCTATGACCAAAGCTGTCAAATGCCCCTTTTTTAACCATGAATAAGTGTGTGATTTATTGCTCATCTCTCTGGTCGATGTGAATACCAATGTCCCACACAAAATCTGCCAATAATCTTAGTATCATAGCCGTAAATCACTGTAGGACAATCTACCTTGTGATACCGTAGATATCATTCTGTAACTTGGATCACATGTGATAGTTCCAAACGGCGTATGTCGTTGTGAACGCTATTTGTGGTCTTCCTTTGTTTGATGACGGGGTTTCCTCTTTCTCTTTCAACTCAGTTCACTTCAGTTGGATCCGCAAATGAGTCAGGTGCTGAGTTGTGTATTTAAAAATAGCCCAAGAATTATTATACCCCATGCTCCACTGATCAGCTCAAACAAAACGTGGCTTTTTTTGGCGAGTTCAATTAGTCCACTCAGAGACTGCGTGGGTCCTCTACCTCAGTTCACTTACCGATGACATTCTTCTTTTCTTCAATCATGCTTTACTTACTAGTGTCTTCACTTCCGTGAGATGTGCGAACCTTATGCACTCCCTGTTTCTGTGACAGTATTAACTCCACAAAGAATATCTCTCCAAAAGGAAACCCTACCGTCGGTTTTTGACAGTACTGCCTTTTTCTGTTACACCCTCATCTTTGAAGACAAACTCGAATCTTTTCTCCAGGACCAAGGAAAATTCGCCTTTTAGTTTTTGAAATGGAAATCCAATAGAAGCACTCGATTCTCTAGACCAAAACTCCTTGGTTTTCTGTTACGTTAACTGATTGAACACCTCTCACTCATGATCTAGCCACAGCATTGGGCCCTTCTTGACTGGACTTGCCTTGAGTGACCATCCAGTCGGAAACACTAAATGACTTCACTCGGTGAATCAGTTGGCAACAAGCAACAAAGATTTTGAAGCCTGAACGTCGGATCAAGCAACATACAGCTTCGCTAGGTGACACAATCACCATTTGCCATCAGTCTAAGCACCACGGAGTAACAACCATTTCACGATCGCTCGAATGAGGAAAACCTCTGAACCGAATTCCGCCATTGTATCATGCTTTTTCTGGGATTCTTCGAAAGAGGGAACTGCAAACACTAGAACCCATCTTTCCTTATAATCTTGCGATTTCGTGTGATACAAAAGTGGCAGCCTGACCAGTAGAATCAGCTTGTTCTCCACTTCTGCGCACTCACCCTTCCAAGTGCCTCTAGTGATGACTTCCCCCTGAAATAATTACATTTCTCTACATATGTCAATCAATCTGTTTAGTTCAACACCATTCAGCGCTGTTTGTACCTCCCGTACATCTGACCTCTGTTTACAGTATCCGTTGGGACAGAGTGCACGACACCGCAGTGCCAAACGACGAGGAATCTGTCATAAACATGTAATTAGAGTGACACTTACGATTCCATACACTAGTACACTTCTGCATACGTTCTTGCCATACGTTTCACACTTAGTGCGCCCAATATGCCCCTTTTTGGTGGTTGGGAAATTAGATTGCTTTGGTTTCCAGGTCATCTACATCAACTATTCGTTTCGGTGCAACAAAAAATTGTTTCATTTGAAAGATCACTTCCATTCATTTTGGATTTAGATAATCATGTATGGTTCATTTTCTATGTCATCTCACCTGACCCTGGTGGTCTTTTCACTTCCCATCAAGGGCGTATCAGTCAAACTGATGTTCAAATGACCGCTTGATGTCCACTGCACCCTCTTTAGGTTTGCGTTTTGTGTTGGTTGAACTCTCCTGAAGGATGGGTGTTTGGACCGGCGTTAAATAACCTGGATCGGACCGTTAACGAATGTGTTGACGAGCTCACCAGATCTGCTGCGTGCACCTTATGGGAAAAACATAAGAGTGGTCAATTTCTCCTTTTTACCCGATCACAACAAGTGAACCACCAGCGATATGGCTTTGCAATCATCCCTGTCGGTTCTCATCACACGCACAAACATGTTTTGCTCCGAAGCCAATGTACTTTCAGATTTGGCTCATCGCTCAAGCGGCATTCCACCAGTCTGGATAATCCATACTTCTCTGCAATCGGATCCGGTAAGTTATTTTCGACTTGCCCGTTGTTAGCACACATGCCTTATCGTCGTTCGGCTTCCATTACTCCGAACCTTTGGAGCTGATTGTGGTGACCCCTTATTTATCGTTACCAGCAATTGGCGAGCATAAGCCTCTCGAGATTTGCTTGGAGGTGAAGCCCTGTTGATTACTTGGTTAGTCTGAACGCGGGCCCGTCGCACCGGACTACGTCGATGGACACCTGCGCGCAGAGGGTAATGCCACGTACGGTTTGCACTGAGCCGCATGTTCATCCACCCGAACGCATTGTACCCGGTGTAAACCCCAAGGAAAAAGATATCAGAAAATCAGGAAGGCGGCAGTTCTAAAACATGCCGACTGTTGGCACATACCTGCTAATTTAGGAGATATAAATTAACATTTAGGCCACACACTGAATGTGAAGAGTCGCCTAGTCGCCAACGCCACTCAGGAGGCACATTCTAGGCAACTATACACAAATGACCAGTTAGTGCTTGCCAGTATTTTATCTGTATAAGTACCATTGCACACCGGAATATGTAGTTTTAAGGCGGGTCATTAGTATACATATATATATATATATATATATATATATATATATAGAGAGAGAGAGAGAAAAAAAAACAAATAAGTTAATCGACATAGGATATGACATAATATAACATAATGCGATGAAATGAAATATAGTCTTGTACACAGAAAGTAAAAATGAGAGAGCAATGAGGACGAACAAACTTGTCTGCAATCCATTGTTAGGGTTGCGAAAAGACTGGATCTCACCGTGGTGTGATGGTTAGCGCACATCAGCTACCCACTGAGCTATACTGGGGGTTGTCCTCGCGATACTCACAGTCTCATACCAGATTGGTCAATGGTTAGAGGTATAACGAACACAGTTTCCTGGTCCTCCAGGTTGGGGGTTGGAAACGTGGCGACTTGTTCCGTAGAAATAGTAATGCATTTGCATTTCCCGCCAAACACCGCTGCCTTGCGGTTAAGCTTTTGTGCCAAAGGCTTTAGTTGAGGACCCTAATCGTCCTCCTGTCCAAATGTGGGCGCCCTGATAGTATTCCAGCCCGCGTACAAACCTAGTACCTGCGTCTAACAATAAATTCATGCCACATCGGCCGTCGCGTGGTGCCATTAGCCTGGTCGCCCTACTCGCTGCATACAGCAGGGCGGATAAGCTAAAACAGGCTACTGCCTCCCTTATACGGCAGCGAAGCATCGGTGCTGAACACTGATGTCATGTTGTCGATGATGACGATCTTAAGGGAGAACACATTTATATCTGCATGTGAACCTCATGAAAAATACATCCATCAGCACGAAGTTGTGGAAATTGATATACTGACCAGTCTTGTGACCTTGTAGTAGGTTTTGCACCGGAGTGTACCTTCTTAGCGTCGTTGGAACGGTGCGTTTAAAGACGAGACCACCACTGTTTCTCTGTACATTTTGAAGCGTGTTGTCATGTGTATGGAATCATAATCAGCCAAAACTGCACTTGTGTGGGCCTTACTGCTTACAATTACGAATGTGTCGTTCACACAGCAGTGGTGAAGGGAGGAACTCCCTTCGCTGCAAAGTTGTGTATTAGCAAACCCGAGCTAAGCGGTTATAAGCCATTGGACATCCTCAGGCGTCCTTTTGGACTTATCTGGACGTTTCTTGAAGATCAAACAATAAACAACGAACATTGCAAAGCGATTCCATAATTTCCGCCTTCCATCAGATACGGGAGTGTAGTCTGGATACCAGACCAGACACTACTCACGTGCTTCGTCAACAGTACACACCGTTGCGGTTGTAGTACTCAAACTTTTTTCAGAAACTGTATGCAGTTGGTCAGACTCTAACGTCACCCTAAAGATACCTCCAAAAGTTGTCGTTGGAGCTAATCTGCGTCGAACTGGCTCCAGGATTTTAGGCGAATATACATAGCAAGTTGAACATGTCTCGTGTGAGGTGCATTGGGACGCTCCGTCCATGAATTTTAAACACGACATACGGATGAGGAATGCGCGTCCTCGTTGGTCTTGAGATTTACACTGCATGGTAGAAATTTCCTTAATATCAGGGTTTTTGGGACTTACAGTCAGATCTCGCACATTATCTTCAAATGTTCGCATGAAGACTTGGTCCTATCGGGCCCGTTCTCGGGACGAAAGATTAAACTGCCACGGGTGTCGTGAAACTCTTTCAGCGCTTTTCTTTGCCGCTTCTCTGCTACTGGAAAGGATTCTTCGGTTTCGGTATTGGTAACAACTACTAACTAAATAGGTTCGGTCGGACTTGTGTGAGTTGATCGTCTGATTACATAATTGTTCACACTAAGGCTCAACTTCCGATTTTTCTAAACGACTTGGTGAAGTGCAAAACTCAAATTCAAAGGACAATACGTCAACCTCGCACATACATTCAAGAGAAATTTGACCTTTATGGCCGCAGTCCGTACGAAGTGTCTTATCTAAAACAGGCTAAGACTGCGTTTTAAAAGACTAACTGCTCTTGCACCTTTAATTGATCGTTTTTCATGCCGTCGGTTTTTGTTGTTTAAACTTGAGCACATTCCTCATCTAGTGTCACTTACATTTCAGGACCTCTACCCAAGCATCCACGATCGTGTGGAGATGGTGCTCCTTCTGTGACCCCTCCGGATTTCACTGTCTCGCAGCGTTTGAAAGTTGCTGAACGAAGCACTGCACCTTCAAGTCTCCCAGAACTTACTCCATCAATCCTTGCTGTAGTTGGTCACCACACAAACATAGCTCAGTCCAATAGACTCCTTTCCTCTAATCCAGAATCTGATAACGAAACGGCCGCTTGCGCTGTCCCCAGTCCACGTCTTCCATCACCTCAAAAACAGGTTCAGTTGCCAGTCAATAGCTGGCTTGCCAAGGCTGCTGATCTCATCATTCCTCCTACCTCCCGTGATATGTCCAGTCAACGTATTCAGAGCGACCCCATTTTGCGGAAATTTCTCAGCTCTGGTTCACATGACTCGTCCTATGCTCGTCGTAGCCAGGAACATGGCTCCGTTTGTAGCTCCAGTACTGATGGTTTTGAGTACGATGAACTGGATTGCGGAAACCTTTCTCCTAAAGCGTTCCACAGAAGTGCCACTTCTTTGTCAGGTATTTCCATTGACAGCGAGCAGTTACGTCAAGCCGAGGAAGCACAGCTACTTCACTTGATAGAAACTCTGTCTTCTTTGTTACACTCGAAGAGGGAAGCCGATTGTTCTGTCTCTGGGAACGTGCCAGCCGATCAGCTTGCTTACCAACCTACAAATAATGCGACACAGTTTAGAGATTTGGCTCGAAAAGCAACCGATCTGTCGTCAGATTTGTCTGAGCTGGAGGAAGTTCTTGACAGATTGAATTTCAAACTGAAAGCCACCAGAATCGAGCTGGATCAGGCCGAAAATAATCTGGGTTATATCTGGCACCTACGTGATCATCTCAATGGTTCAGACACCGAATCTGTATGTGCACTTTCTCAGACCAGTTCTGAATCTCAGACTAGTCTGTATCCTGAGTCGGTCGGTGATTTTACATCACCACAGAGCATTACTCATTCACTCACCCATCCTCCGCCGCCGAAAATCGCATATGATATTCAGGAAATTCCCTCTGATCCTGATTTGCCTCAGGATGATAATTTTCCGCATTCAACCTCGGATCTAAATTGTCTGACAGTTTCAGAGAGTTTATTCACTTCTACTGATTCCTCCGAGCAATGCCATCCGACCGTTTCACTTTCAGACATCGACTCGGGATTCGACCGTTCTCGTTCAATGTGTTCTTCTCTGACATCTTCCTTGGTTGAGCCAAAATCAAGAGGATGCTGGATCAGTGGTACGCTAAGGTCAACCCGATTAGGACGAGTTCGTAGGTGCCTGACGACGCCTAGTGTTCCTACGGATTTAGTTGAACGCACGGAATTCGTCAATGAGGTAGTGACCGATGTGCAAGGGTTTCTATGCCCAGGTAAGCGTTCGCAATTTGTAGAGAAGTCGGCGCACTGTTGATTTTACTTACGTAACTTTAATTCATCCATCCTCAGCTTTAGTTCAGTTAAGGCACGTTCTTTCGCATTACTCCGATAGCTATATCGCTTTTTTCGCTGATTTCCGTTTATCACGTGAACCGACGTTCGCTACCTCGGTTGATTGTATCTGCTGGCCAATGAGGTGGAAGACCCAAGGTCAGTTGGGTCTGAATTTGCCTCTCTTTCGCTCAACATAAATGACTTATTTTCAAGTTGCAACAAGTTGCGGTACCTTCTTCCTCACAAATTTCCCCAACTCGTGAATGGGCCTGTCATACGCAAAGAGTTTATAGGATTCTTCAACATAAACATGTGTAGGATTTTTAGTGCATCACTCGAAGTACCAGATTGCGTGAATAAATTTTAACATGAAAAAAGTTGCGTTCCATCTTCCTCACAAATTTCCCCAACTCGTGAATGGGCCTGTCATACGCAAAGAGTTTATAGGATTCTTCAACATAAATACTTATTTTCAAGTTGCAACAAGTTGCGGTACCTTCTTCCTCACAAATTTCCCCAACTCGTGAATGGGCCTGTCATACGCAAAGAGTTTATAGGATTCTTCAACATAAACATGTGTAGGATTTTTAGTGCATCACTCGAAGTACCAGATTGCGTGAATAAATTTTAACATGATTGTTCCACCACACTCGAGTAGTTCGTATGAAATACTGATGTCCTTGTTGATGGCGAATCGATACCTGCTTCAAATCGCTTGCCGATAGTCTCACTTTAAGAACTAAACCCTGAGATCTTAGTCTGAATCCTAACAAAGCTTGTTCTAGGCATTAATTAAAAATCCCAAATTTACGATGATCAGCTAAGCATCGGTTTTTTCTCTTCAGCTCATCTGCTCCAAGATCCGTCAAATTAGGTTTTTATATGAATTATACGAATCCACCGATGGACGCATGTACATAACCACCATTCATGTCCATTTCGAACTAGTTTTCATTTGCAGTAAGAATTTGAACGTACTCCAGCCCTAGGGGCATATGGGGGAGAACTACGTTATCACCCTCAAGATATATAGCCTTGTATGCCAGTTATCCGTTTACCTCTGCCTCTAGACTTCCCTGTCTAGGCTTGGGCGAACTGGCAGTATCCCAGCCCTCGTGCTTTTTTCGGGTGGCATGGCAGCTAAGCACCGAAAGGGTGTTACAGCTTAACTATTATTATATTTTAAGAAGTATAGTTCACAACTCCTCTGAGAGAACACTTGCGGAGATACAGAGGTGCGTCATGGGCGAGGATTTTTCTTCACGAAAAAAGTGCCACAATGCACTCTGGAGGCGCCACGTAGTACTTCCTCCATAAAAAGACCCTCACGGAGGGAGATCATTGCCCTTGGAGATTCACAGCAGTGTCCTCCGTCAGTTGCGAGGTACTGCATGATCTTTTTTGGCATAGGCGTTCAGCTTTTCGCTCAGTACCTCCTCCTGGGAACTTACTACATATGAGTTCTCCTGACAGATACTATCCGACAACTGAGACCACTTCGTTACTTTCAGGTGAACTAATTCTAACTAACCTGTCCTTCCAAAATGGACTAGAACGAACCGGTCCTCTGTACTCACTGCACAGAAAACCTTTCCCCGTAGTGTACTCCGGGAGGATTATCTCGTTGATGTGTCCAGTGTATATCTGACTCCTTGCATTATTGATTTTCCCACCAACTGGTTGGGGATCTCATAATTGCCACATTGATCGCGGTTGTGCTGTACAAATACTCGTCCTACGTAGGACGAACCTCTCAAGGCACTTTAATTTTCATTAAAAAAGGTATACAATACTTAAGGTGTTCACAATCAGCCTTTTATGCCAAGCTTTTTGTAATGTGCTGTTGTGAAACAGGGCTCAAGATGAAGCTTATAGAGTTACATGGAGAATGATGACTGTATAAGACTAATGAGATTTCTATGTTGGTATCGGGACATGTTAAAGTGGACTGATTTTATTGGAGGCTAGTAGCCGCGTCTTAACAAATCCGAGAAGTTCATTAAGCCTACGGACGTTCACCTGGTGTTTACCTGGTTTACCTGGTGTTCACCAGGTAAGTAGCAGTAGTAATGGAAAAAGAAAAAAACGTTGTAAATTGCATTGTCACAAGTCACTTAAAGCTGCTGTACTAGTCCGCTAGTACTGTGTAGTTAATCGATTACTATCCTGGAAATGCAATTTTCTACATACTCACATGACTGTCGTTTTGAACAATCGTCCTCCTGTCCTCACGTAGTCATTTTGGCGAGTCCACACTACGGGGGGAGCACTGGACTCGAGTTTCGCTCTTATTATAGCTCATCAGTAGTGCATATCCGATAGCCGTTCCGGGATTTGAACTCCGCACATCTGACTTGCGAGGTGAATTTTTACGTCTGAACAGGTAAGTATGTTCGCGCCTGACGCCTAGAACGATGACCCAGTAACATACCTTGGTTGTATCGATCGATTGGCCCGCCAGTCAGATAGCGCCACAGATGCTCGAAGCCTGCTGGATACACCTGAAACAATGTTCGGATCATAATGAAAATTGAAAACACTCGCCCCAGTAATCACCAGTCGTCAGATTCCTAACCGAGTAAACCAGAGAAGATTGATAGCGCCACTGCTGTCGGTGAATTTTTCCCAAGATCATTCGTAGCAACCTGAGCACGTAAACGGTGTGTCGTTGTAAGGCATAATCGGTTGCACCAGGACGTTCCAGATTTCTACCACATATCCTGCAATTTTTGTGCTTGTTGTAACTCACATGTGGTAGAAAATCCGCCGTTGCATCTTTGTACCTACCCCAGTGCGTTGTGCTTCACCTCCAACAAATGCCCCACAACGACGCGAAAAGTAGCCACACGCTTGCTGAAAAATCCCCATATCGACCCATGGTGTTTTTCTCCACAATGTTTGCCGTCCATTCGCAAGCCCATTATCACTGACGGTTATTTTAAACAAGATCAAGGATGAACCGTTTGTTGCACCCCCAATGAGACCGGGGCAGAGGTCACGGACAGCACCCTACGGTAGATCAAGCTCACTGAGCGCGAAGAACGATTTATATCTGGCATACTTGATACTGCTTGGACTTGTATAACTTGGTAGTATTTCATTCGCTGTGTTTTTCAGTTTGTATATCGGAAACAGCACCACAATTGAATGCTTTTCATTCCGTATGATCCACAGGATCCGTGGTTCATGTTGCCGTGCGCCATGTAGCAAGATTATCAAGTCTTTTGTAGTCAAGGTTGCTGCCACTCTTATAGAGTATTCTAGATTTGTGCATCCATGTAACGGTATTCTACAAAAGCATTGTGACTTTGTGAAAATTGCTACAGCTTTTCATTCATTGTTTTATTTCACACCCATCGACGGATGAGTTCTGAACCTGGTGGCGAATGCTTAACTCAATACTCGGGTTAGATTTCCTGCTGCCACTACACGGTATGATTGATACATCGTTGTAAGTGAGACGGTCGTCATGCACCAACCCTCTAGAGGCATTTTCCAATGCCTGTGCGCACATCAATATTTATGCAGATTGTTGCGATTACGTGCACTACGTCATTGGCACCAATCCCTGAAAACTCACTGGCTAACATCAAAATACATGCCCACAGGATGATGGTTTTGTTTGTCCCACCAACCGTATACGGGCACCCACATGGCACACTAGAGATACACGAAGGTCCTTCGTGGAGCGGAAACCTTGATCGCGCACAAGTACTGACGGTAGCCAAAGTCGCACAGAGTTAGTTTTTATAAGCACAGTCGAATTAAAGCAAGCGGAATCCTGATGACCAAAAGTGTTGCTCCGGGCACCAGAAGCACAATGGCGTTTATCCTGCTATTTGGAAAGTATGTTGTAGAACAAAGCAGCATGAAGGAATTTGGGAACTAACGCTAGTCCAATGTGTGGGTGCATTCACCGCGCTACCCAGTGGTACGTGTCTGTCATAAATGATCAGTTTGTTACAGTTGCATTTCCCACGGTTTTAAGCAGACAGCGGTCAACAGTCGGGTCAAAACCTAGTTCTCCACCCCATAACACGTAATTCATCGCTTAATTTGCACTACCTATCAAGACTTTCTGCTGTTTTTTGACGGGAATTCTAGTTCTCTGTATTCCTCATTTTCGCTTCACGCGAAGCATGGTCCAATCTATCCCCCTACATCACGGTTCCGAACTTCATCCGATGGCTTCATTCCCCCTTTCCTATATCAGGCATTTCCGGCTCCTTGCCACTTATTTTTTTCTCATGATATCAACTGATATTCGATGTACCGTAATTCAACCTGATTTCGTATAACTCGACGGCTGATGTATCGGATTTGATGTGGGCTTCAGTTGTCCCATCGAAATGACGTCTCAGACAGCGTGTTCTTCAACTTTGCTATTTGTTTTTTGCACGTGCAGTTAGCCTAGAAATGTTCGGGAGTGTTGAAGAGGAAACTTCTCTTCATAATTTGTTTTAAGCAGCAGATTAGAAGAGAACAAAAGTCGATTGAGCACTTATCTCTGACATATTTGATATGTTTCACACTGTCTTATGTTTTCGCATTCGTATGCTGTCTCCGAACATCTGCCTGAGAACCCTTTCGTCAGAGTCCATCATCAATGCCGTACTAGGAGTTGATTTGGGTTCTTTTGCTCTGCGGAGCGAGCGCGTCACCACTAAATCAGCGCACCTTGAACATATCCGAGTTGTTCTAGCTGAGCAGATGAACATGATCTTGTCTGTTGGCGACTAGAAAGATGATTCACCAGTTTTTCTGGCTGTGCCGGTTGGTAGCCTGTCCGTCAGTGCTTTGTAAGTCTGCGGAACAGTTTTCACTTTCTTGTGGGTGCTTGCAGAAATCATTAAATTTTCGTTCAGAATAATCTCAACAAACCGACTAATGCTTGTAGGTCTAGATCTCTTGAAATGCACCCTGGCCACAAGGTGCACGCAGATTCTGGCAGTGCCTTTCGGACGTAAATTTCAATGGCCGTTTGCACGCTCGCCACATGTAGCTTTTGTCAGTTAAGTGCAAACTTTTGTTTACCTTGAGCGTGAATGTCTGTCAAATCCTTTGTTAGGAAGTTTGGTTTCCAGCTTTTCTAGGCTAAACAAATCCTCTGCTGGCTTAGATTGACTCAGTGCAACCAGTGGTAGTATGTTTGTGATAAAATGTCAAATGGTTCTCCCTTTAGCATCACTCGTATGCCAAGTGTGTTTATCCGATGCTGTGTTGCAGAGGTAAACGCGATGTTGAGGGCTTGCCCGCCTTTATGCAGCCGCAACAACTGGCAGATCGACAGACATTTTTCCCTGTACATCACACGATGCAACCGAAGTTACAGTCACGTGTCAAAACACTGTTTTCTACTAGAAAAAGGTGCCCGCATGTAAAGAACTTGTCAAACAAGTTTCGCACGAGTTCTGCATCAGACTACAGACGTGTGGTCACATGTGCGTCTAATTGGATTGAACTTTGTGGAAATTCACGTAAAACATGAAATTTCGCAACAAGCATTGATGGAAAGTAGTCTGGTACTAGACAGAAAAGTTTAAAAGCGGCCACCTGTTCCCATCCACTCTTGATGCTTGAGTGTTTGTGATTATTAGGATAGGTGCCGTATCTTGAGGTTTGAATCAAAAATAGGCTTTCTGTCACTAGTCCCGAAGTGATAGCCTTTTAAATAGCTTCGTCGTACCGAGTTTTTATGTTACCGTCTTAACTGAGATGGAATCGCTACTAGAGTCGCTTGTTTTGGATGGTCTAAGAAGCACCAGTTGTGATCGAATTACTCCGTTTTGTTTTGACTGGCGAAGGAGAGATGACTCTAACACTTTGTCCCTAATTATAGGTAATTTATTGCATCAAAATACCCTAATTAGGCTTTCAGAGAGGAACGGATTTTACCCATCTTGAGAACAACTAAGCTGAAGCGAGCGCTTGCTTACCGAATCTAAACTACGTGGGTTCACATAAGTTTTAAAACTCACAAACACGTACCATAGGAAGAGTGAGATCCATGTTTTTCACTCATGTTTCTTTCATGCTCTTCACCGTTAATGGGGACATGGCAGCTGAAGAGTTTGGCATGTTCGTTTTTATGCACAAAATGTTAAATTTGAAGGTCCGTAGTGGAAGCTTTGAAGCAACCTTCCGAAGCGCTATACTGAATAACTCACTCCTGTTGACAATTCTTATCAAGTACACGCTGATAGCCACCGCTATTCAATATCAGTTCATTAGTGTTTACCACCTTGTTTTCTGCTGTCAGAGCGCCAGCTTATTTAATAGTATCATCTCTGTGGTTACCGTCAGCAAGAGCGTTTCTTGTGTCAAGGCACGTAAGGGTCTATTGCTATGTGAAGCCCGTAAACTTCCATCAATTATCTGACGGTTGATGACACACTCCTAATTTCAGGTTCTGTGTTATAGCGGTCTCGAGACGCTGAAATCGTACGTGTCCACCTAAGGAAGAATAATTGGTTAAAGTTACTCTTTTGTACGTATAAATCACATTTTGATGGTGAACTCCTCAGAACAGGCCAATTCGTAGAAAGGCTTTCTGTCGATTCGTGAAAGCGGTCTTTCAAGAGGGGACAGGTTTGCAATTGTGATGTTATAGGAAGGCAGACCCTTAAAATAACTCACTTTTGTAGTTGGTTCAACAAGAAGGTGGAGTAAAATTGTCTCAACTCTAAAGTCCGCTTGTACGGATCCATCCCTTCCATGGTGGACGCAATCATTTGAAGAATTCGCTGGAAACAAGCCATAAGTGATCTCTGAAAGGTGATCGTCACAGAGGGCGGCATCATTATAATTGTGTGCATACAATGGAAGCTAGTATACTGGAGTCCCCATCGCTGGGGGTGGACAGTTTTGTATTCATACCATTATCCAGTAATCTAATTGGTGTAGAAATACATATAAGCCCCGTGAGTAGATTGTTCATGTTCGGGGATTCTTCACACGTGCCCTAGCATTTGGAGCTGTATGGAATCTCAAAGATCAATAAGGTGGATGCTAGCGTCACCGCACAGTAACACTACGTTATCAGTATTGTGTGAAATGCCCAGTGTGTGAATTCATATCTTTTCTGGCTAACCATTGTTGGCCCATGCATGTGCTGTGCGGGTTACTATTTTAGGAGGAATAACTAAAATTCCTGAGAGTATGATCTTCCTTCGGAGGAAACGTACACTAAGTCAAATTTCTCAGGGGTGTTGTGATGCGTTCTCCAAGGGAGTGTTTTCTACTTAGTGGGGTCTCTTTGGAGCATCTTCGCTATTTTTAGCAATCCTTGTCACGCTGTTCACACGCAATACATAAAATGAGCGATGATTGTGTTGTACGCTGTGCGCTAAGGGGGTGAGTAGCTGAGAAGCTTGTGAACCACTGGTCCAAGCGAATTCCAGAAATTCTCCCATGGATGGAAAGAACATGTTACGCAATTTACTGCTTCTAATCGTAAGTTCACTTTTTCGTGAGTACGCACACTGCCAGACTCTCATATCCTGGTAGACTACCCATATGAACTTTCGCCCATCTAAACTCTCTGTTCAAGGGTTTTCAGTGACCTTATGAGTGGATTGTTACCTCTAGACAACAAACATGGGGTGGCCTGGTGCAGCACACTCAGTTGAAGTGGACCGTCATACGCAAGAGATTCATCTGGATTTGGTCGAGTCTCCTGTCAAAACCAAATTTGTATTAGTCTGTCTACATAAGTGTGGATGACGGCGGATACTGGTATACCTTCCTCAAGACATCTAACTCCCTTTGAAAGAGCCTTTTTGGGACCATATAGTTATTTCGGGTTCAAGTAGCTAAAAATCATGTTTGGAAACAAACTTGTGTTATGCTGTTACGTGCTTACATGGTGCCTTAATATGAGGGAACCCAAAACCCACATTTCGAATCTTGTTCTTTGTTGGGAAAGAACAGTTAGAGCTGTCCGTGTTCGCCCTTTTTAGATGGTCACTTTTAAGGCACCGGTTAAAGTGGCCTCAACTGGCAGTTGTTCTCTTTCAAGGAGGTTATTGCGACGGCTACCGTATATTAACTGATTATTGACTCACCAGAATACTGTTCTGGCGGGACGAGTCAATGCACCGTTTTATTAAGCAAACGTTCATTATTATTTGTTCCTATTTTCGTTGCAGAGCTCACTTTTGACAGAGATGGTATAATAGACTGGACGGAGCGGATTGATGTTTGCCCCCATCGATGACAAATGGTTCATTAGCTCCAGCTTCTTTACGTTGAAATTCTAGGGGATAAAACTCTGACTTTTTGATCCTTCTGTGCAATATGCTCTGATAGCTGCCGTCTTAAGTCTTTCACACTTATCTTTCATTCATGTGCGCTATTGTGTTTCATGTAGCCGTGATCATCAATTTATTTGTTTTTTTACTGCCCCGGTTGATCATTGTCATCCATCTACACACACCTCTTCTGGCACACAAGCAAATTGTCTTTCTCTGTTATCTGTTCCGGGGGTGCTTTAGTGAATATTTAGAAGTAATCAGAAACCTAGTCTCCTGAACCTCCCAATTTTATGCAACACCGATTTTCCGCTGCTTTCCCTTATATAATGAAACACACCGAACACATGTTGCCTAATCCTATCGTTCTTTCTCTTCATTGCCATTTTGTTGGGTTTTTGTTTCCCCGTGTTTAGCAATACACATATCTCCAACCTTACTGTTTATCTCTGCATAACTGATCATCACATGTCATTACTGTGAACACTAGTTTCCGGCGAGCGCGTGTTTCATCCATCCCCTAGGCACGTGATACCAGCCGCGCGGTCTTACTGAAATCCTACTGATTTGATAGCATCATGGTTTGGTGAGCTAAGTTGATTGCTACTGAAATACCCTTCGAGATTTTCCAGATTACAGGTGTCATTGGTTTTCTTGCTGTCAGATTCTAACTGTATCCTATGGTGTTTGGAGCTGTGTGCTTGTGATAGGCTTGCACCAGGTCCATAACCTCTTTCTGTTCATTTCTGGGATTGTAAGACATCGAAGCACTAATTCATACCTTATCTTTCTGTCTGTGAAGATGCTGACGATAAGTTACCAACCCACACTTGGCAACTGATCATTTTGTAAGTCAATTTTAAGATCCCATGATCTGTATGCATGTAGATTGATGTCCTGATGGATCTTGCATGAATGCAGTGTTTTTCGGCGTTACTCAACGAAGTGAGTAAACTGCAAGCATGATTTAGCTCACGGTCGTCCAGACGGATTAAAACTATAGTCCACCGCTGAAATGATCAGGTTTGGTAGCTCAATTGGGTCAGTGCATCCTGAAACTTCAGCGAAATGTCAATCTGATTTACGGGCTGCGTAGCATTGTAAAAGAGTACTTCGAGGGAAACGTTCTTATTTGAAGAACTGCCATCAGCTGGAAACTTTGCTCACTTATGCTGCTGTTAGGGATTCTGGGAGAATTTTGACAAATACTTGAAAGTGTTTTTTTTTCACGCTGTTGCTACGTGTGTAAGTAGTTTGGGCTGGGAGTGCTTAGCTTGAGGAGACGAAGTAGGATATTCGGCTGTTGTAAAATCTCTTTCGGTGCGCTGCAGATCACATTGCAATCGAACTATCGCTAAAACCTGTTGAACGACGTGCAAATAGAATCATGAGTGGAACTTCCTGAATTCTTCCGAAGTCTACCGTGCAATGATTTGCCAAAAAAACAGACATTTGTTCGTGATGTGGTCGATATGTTTGGGTCTAAGTAATTTTGTGACCATGACCTGCCAGAGGTCAAATTTTTGAAACCCTTCTCATCATTGAAGCTACTGACTAGATTTCGCTACTCATCCATAACGATCTCTTCCACTGATCTCATTGCACGACGATTTTGGGTTTATTGTGCGTAGCTTTATGGTTTTGAGGAGACTCATAATCTACGCAAATGAGCGTCATTGACTGGTATATACACAGCCTCAGGAATTAGGCTTATCATGATGTAATAAGCTCGCTATATTTCTCACCCTCGTGGTTTAAAACTGGAGGTCGCTTCAGCAAGCGGTTATGTGGCTTTGTGTGGACAGAAACCGGTGCTACAAAGGCGGTCGCATGCAGCGATTGTGCGTAACACCTGACTACACTGGTCTAGGGACCTGGAACAGTGCATGGGGCATGTAATGCACGTTCATTTGGTTAATCTTGAGTTCCCAATATTTAACTTTGAGTTACGCGTAGGTTTAACTATCCCGAATATCATGCGAGAATATGCTTCAAAATTTAGTTTCCCGTTAGTGAAAAAAGGATGCACCTCTCGCAACAATGAACGCCGGAGGTCATAGTAACAGAAATAACTCAACTACTAAAAGCGCTGCATTTGGGAAATAGTCATCGAAGTCTGTTCGTTGTCTTCGCAAAAAATGCAGGTTACGAGGCCTACAGCGAGTAAAGTCAAAACATTTGGATTGGATTTACTTGTCAAGCCGCCTTGGACACCACTGTATTGTGATTCATGTAAACGAATAAATCATTATTTGTTCCGTTTATCCATATCTGTCAAGTCCGAAAGAAGGAATTCGTTCGCTATAGCGTAAATGGCTCTCACGCTGTTCAACGAAGGTGTGATATTCACCAGTCCCGGGATTGCGCTCTTTGAGTGGGGACACTGTACTCGATGGTTACTTTTTGAGTAGTGGATCAAATTTTCCTACTGAACAGCTGTTCATCACCGCATTCTCGCAAATACCAACAGAAATCCGCCCCAGTGACGTTTAGAAAAGAAGCTTTCTCTGTACGCATCTAACGAAATACACTCATTTTCAGAATAAGTTGCTGTTAACGGGAGGTTCTATACAACAGCTTTGTGAGCCTCCTCGGTTCCCGAGATTTATTAATCCGGGCAGACAGTTGGATGTGAGTAATGGGAATGTCAATGCTTTTTTACAAACATTCTAGCTGAATGTGGGTAAGCCATAAAAAAGTCAGTTAAAAACGACCAGATTTAATTCGCGAAAAACGTTGTCCAACTAAGTGACAAGTTTAGATAGCTCGGAAGCTGGAGTATCCGGTGCGTTTTTTGAGTTCCTAAAGATAATGGACTGACAATTACTCAACATTCAAGCAATATCTGCGTCGGACGTGTCCAAGACTACACTAGTCTCCTTTCACATAGATGTCAACGTCAGCTCCGTTGCGAAAACTGACACGCCAAGCAGTACGCAACTGATCATAACCATTTAGTTTGATGGTGCAGTCGTCTAAATCGGACTATAACGAGCTTTCCGGTAACACTACAACTCATTAGTACTGTAAATCGGACTATAACGAGCTTTCCGGTAACACTACAACTCCATTAGTACTGCACTGTTTCTGCGATATACCTCGAATGAGCGTAACTGGAGCATCAGGATTCCTCAGAAATTAGCCAATAATAAATATCCACCTGGTCTATCAGCCCAGAGGCATTCAACCATGTGGAAAACTGAACGACAATAGTAACCCACGGACCAATCGGATCAGATGAAACGAAGCAAGAAAGATAGAACGTATCACAACGGAGGACCAAAAATGTCCAAACGGGTGCAAGCAAGAGATGCAATCTAGACCCGAAGTTGACCAATCAAAATAAGCGGAAACCATCCCACAACCAACCAGTCACGCCAGAATCGTTATTTAGTGTTTAGGAACTATATGACCTCAGGCGAAAGAGAGAAAACTTGTCAATTCAGCCCCCACACTGACGGTACTTCCTCGATTGTGGATGGAACGTTTTACATTCAAATGCCAACATCGGCGAGCAGACCAACAAATAACGTAGCTTCCCAGACAGACCGCAGACGAAATGAGCAAGTTGGTTTGTATCATGATTTTCAATGTCATGGAATATTCCGAAAATCAGCTCAGACGTTGTGGTAAGAATCCTGGTCCTCGTTTTGGAATGCCTAATGAATACAAATGTGCTGCGCCATGCCTATATCTCTCCTGGAGTTGCTCCTCCCCATGAACTGTGTGCCGAGTAAGACGGCACATTTGATCATTAAAACTGGTGGCGCGGAAAATTTAGGTCTCAAAAATCAAATAGGGGTCTCAATTAAGTAGATTTATCATGGAGATTGTTAAATCCGTCTAAATACTATCATCTGCTCCGGTGTCCCAACTAATCCTTCGCATGGAATGTAACAAAAGAGAAATTCCATTCGTACTCAGCATACGCGCAATTTTGAGTAATGTTCGAGTGACAGAGTGGTACATGGTGAAATTCGTCTCCCAAAAGAGCTTAAGACCGATCCTGCTATATCCAACTGAGGCTTTCTAGCTAGAACGGAGTACTCTACCCCGTTTTCACAGCTAACTGCTTTTTACATCTTAGATCAGTTTCCATTCACGATAATCCCTACCGGAGAAAGAGCTTGGATTGTTACAGTTGAATGACTACTGTTCACAAACTATTCCCCCAGCAGCATTTAAATTTTGTTTCCAGATACCAACCTCCCAGTTGTGCCTGCTTTTTGCTTTCACCACAAATTTCGTGTCGCATTACTGGGATAACGTTTGGCCGGTCATACTTTCCGAGAGATATCACACATCCGCAATACAGGCTAATAAGCTCAAGAAAAACATGATACGCTCAGAGGGTCCAAATCCTCACCAGTACGACAGGCAAATTTGCATTCAATTTCATAGAAAGACAAGACAAATGACCAAACTTAGCAAACTGCTACATGATTCAGATTCCAAACAAATATAAGCCAGCCTTTGTCGCCTTATTTATCAGTCACACTAGCGGTTCCTAATACCTAAGTTTACAAACCTTCAGACTTTGAATGCTGTGGACATACACTGTGAGCAGACATTCTGCCGGCTGATGTCTCCATTTCTGACGTAGTTCATGAATGCGCCAGGCCCATTCTAGTATTATTCTAATACCCTACTGTAATACTCTAATCCAAGATGAGAATTCCGTTATGTTTCAGCACATTCAAGCTGTATTTCAGCTGACTTACATGAGTTATACTGGAGTCCGTAATTTCTTGTTTTAAGATGTAGCAAAATGAGCTCTGCATTGATAAGCGATGGTTGTATATGATTGCTACTACACCATTCGGATAAACTCAGTTTTCCGGTTCTAGAACTTCTGCTAGAATTTGCTAGCATATCAAACGAAAACCTTGCTTCCTCTGCTGCAGTGGCCAAACAAAAACTGATCTTTTGATAGAGTTATCTCTACTCTGGTGGACCCAATCATTGAATAGGCCACTTGTAGAGTGTGGACTTATGTCAAACGGTATTATGAAGCGTGATTTGAGGTAGTCGCCCCCTATGGACAGTCCTGAACGGAGATACGAGAAATGGTAGCGAGAGGGCTGTGGTATTACACTGTGCTACCAGAGCCTGACCGAAATCGGTTTGTCCTGAGGAGCGGTCTCTTCAGACTACCGCTGTCGTAAGCAGCACTTCATAGAAGATAACTTGTTGTCAGTCTTCGGGATAAATTGTCTCTCTAGAAAAAAGGTTCAAACGAATGAGAGAGAGGAGGGAAAGAGGAACTTTGGCTTTCTACCTTTCAGCTGAAAAAACGTTCAGCTATAGCACTCTTTCGGTGTCCAGCTGCCATGCCTACCGAAGGAAGGACGAAGGCTGGGATACCGCCAGGTTGCCCAAACCTAGACAGGGGAAATCGAAAGGAAATGTCAACGTAGAGAGTTTGTTGTTGTTGTTTGTAACTTCCTAGATTTCGCCTTTGCCAACGCCGTGTTTACGATGAACAAAATTCCTTCGGCTGGCAATAAAGGCACTGCAAAAAATTCCAGAAGCTGTTGGCCACCAGCAGGTGGATGAAACCGCAAACCAACATATGTATTCTCATCCGCTTCTCAGCACTGTAGAGCATCAGGGTGATGTTGGGCTATCATCGGTCTATTTTAGCGATAGCATCGCTATCTGTTGTGCCATCTACCGGTTGATAAGGGAAAATGGAAAAGTCATCGTGTTTTCATTTGTTGTGATCCCAAAAATGACGTTTCATCGCAGGGGTCTCTTTTAGATTCAAGTAATACAAGGCTTGTTNTTTGGGATCGCACTTTCTTGAACAGCAGGAATGGGGTAGTCTTAGCAGATACTTCTGGAGCGAACTTTTAGGTTGTGATTCCTGCACCGACGTATAATAGTAGATCTTTTGAACATAGCTGCTGGTAAAATAGTGTTAGCTCAATGAGACTGTTTTATCGCCTTTTCTTTTTGTTTATCGATTGAATGGAATATTCCACGAAATGGGGTCAGTGCACATGACACTTCTTTAGATGTAAAGCTTACTCAATGGGAAGAGGAATTCACATAGGAGGTCATGACAATGAGCCTTCTATAAACCAACTCAGTGATTATTCATAATGTGCATTCAGTCACTAGGAAAAACCTACACGTGCTGCGATAGTAAACGCCCCAGGAGTGGAAGTAAGGAAATGGCCACGGGTTTTCTCTAACAGTGTGGGGTCTAAACTCATCTTATAGTCAATTTGAGTCAGAGTAGTACAAATACACGAACATACGGGTATATGAGTAGGTATATAAATGGGCAAATAGTACAAAACATCAGGCCATACCCGACAGCCCAGTGAACTCTCTCATTAGGACTGGAAAATACCGCAAACTTGCGATTTAGCTTAGTCCCCCGTCAAGACCTGACTTTGTAAATGTTAAGTTCCACAAACATTAAATATTCTGTTCACGTGCCTCTCTCATTAGGACTGGAAAATACCGCAAGCTTGCGATTTAGCTTAGTCCCCCGTCAACGCCTGACTTTGTAAATGTGTTAAATTCCACATACATTAGATATTCTGTTCAAGTGGAAAGCAGGGTAGATGGATTTTCGCGTACTGGGCCTACATGATGAGTCCCAAAGAAAACGAAGCAATTTGGAGTTTGCGCCAACTATAGGACTAGTGCATAAAAAATGTGGAGCGGTGTTCGAAGGGCCCACCCTTAAAATTAGCATTGATGCATCCAACAATTTGCAAAAATCAGGAGTCAGCAGTGTATCTACCTAGAATAGCGCACCAACACAATTCATTACTCATTTTGTGTACGCTGCTGACTGATATGTTTGAAACAAGGCCGCGTGAAGTGTGAGGAACGAAAGGGTACACAGAGAGAACGGGTGTCCATGAGTTTAGCGAGCTGGAGAATAGTGCAGGAACTTTCGCACTTTCTACTGCCCCTCAATGCACTTTTTAAACGAACACTGATGCCATCACTGTGGAAATATAGTGAGGTCAGTCAGTAGTTCAGTTCAATATTGTGAGATAGTTTTAAAGCTCCATCTCAAAATTTTCATCGGTCATTGAACTTTACCTTGTGCCCGAACGTCACAGCTGATTTCTCACTATCCTCTACCCTCAAAGTTAATACTACACACAGATTTGTGAGCGGCTGACGCTGAAGAAATGCATTATTAGGCGTTGGACTGCTCCTTGATCTGACAGTGAATATGCACTCTGCATTGGGATCCAGCTGACTTGATGTGCATTTGTAAAACGACCTTGACGAATCGATAAACATTTGATCAATATCGCTTTTCAAAGTATGCTCAGCCCATAGCCGTGTGAGCGGTATGTCCTCTCCAAAATCCCAGCGGTCCCCCAAAGACAAGGGCTCACCGAAGAGCAAGAGTTCGCCGAAAAAATCTCCGAAGGGAAATAAATCGCCAAAATACAATGCAGACGAGGATGAACAACCTTTCATATTTGTTCCACCCCCACGTCCACCACCTCCACCAGATCCGCCAAAGGGCCCATTGCTTTCACGATTGCGTAGGCAAGTGTGGTACCCCTATGCAAATCGGATCACGTTTGAAAAAAGAGAATGGTTTTGGTCTCCCTATTGCCCGGTCATCACGAGCTGGGGTGACATATGGGTAACAGATCCGCCTCAGAGGAGAATTTTACGCTATTACTTTGATCCTGTCAGTGCAAAGATCTCGTTATGCTCACCAAATGTAATAGTTCGCGGCGAGCCAAGGATGATGATTGAGATACCGAAAACTGGAAGAATGGCCGTACTTGTTACGTGTCCCACCGCAAAAAAAACCATGTTAGTGCTTTACAGTCCTATGGACCTGAAAGAAGAAGCGAAAATTGACTTCAGATATGCTGCCCAAGAACCACCCTTACCTGAAATCCCTGACTTGCCTGTGGAAAGTGAGTCGAAAAGGTGCGTATTGGAAGATGATTGTACACCGATAGGTCTTTGCGCCAACCGTGATCTGTTGTTCGTCCTTTTTCAACCTATTCAAAGAATCAAGCTTTTCGAGCCAGCCTACTTGAAACCGATTGATGTACGCCTCGAAAATGCATACCCTGACGAAAGCACCTGTGTCCACCTGGCATCGTCGGGTGGCTGTGCTGCTAGTGAGGATAAACTATTCCTAGCTTGCACGAGGCCTCCCAGAATACAGGTGTTCTGGATTTGCCGACAGATGCTTTTATCGAAACTTGATCGGGTGGACTTGACGTGGTATGCTGAGTTGGGGCTAGATCGTCTATCCATTGGAGAACCATTTGGTGTACAGGTCGACTCACTCGGTCTCGTTGTGGTTTCTGATTCACGTGGCGGCTACATGCGAGTGTATAACGCGGACGATAAACGTCCACCAGGACCTTGGTTGCCTTCCCTTCCTCATGGTGAAACGTGTTACATGGGCTCATGGAAAGTTGATCCTTACCAACACGTTAGACCCGGGCATTTTAGTTTGGGCAAAAATGGAACAGCATGTGTGGTCGACCGTTGGGCTAATAAACTTCACCTAATATGCGATCGTACGGAACTGCGCTGGTATGACGAAACCTTGCTAGCTCTGGATGATGCACTATTTATACGCCCGGTGGTCGATCCCTTGATGCCGATGCATGGGTTACCCCCACCGCCAGTTATTGATCCATTTGTTGTCGGCGATTTCAGAAGAACTGCCAGTCAGATGTCCCTGGAAATACCCGAAGATGAATTACTTCCAGAGTGGCTCAAAAAGAGGTATGTGAAGGAAGAGGAGATTGAGGCCAAAACATCCTCACCAAAAGCATCGCCAAAGGGGAAGAAATCGCCAAAAGACAAGAGAAGTCCAAAATCCGGTTCACCGAAGTCTAAGTCATCAAAGAGCAAGAAGAGCAAATAATTTCTGACTAACATTCAGTTACCATTTGGTCGGATGTTCTCACTTTTTTTACTCATTTTCTTCTGCACTGGCTGGACTTTACACAAATGTGACCGTTTTTTGTTTGAGCTCCGGTGACTCTATGACGCCACTTATGTGTGAACGCGATAAAACTCTGTTCACCTCATACATAAGTTTCCCCGACTCAGATTCTGTGAAATCTTCAGGTTTTGTGTTATTCGGGTCAGGTTGTGATTCATGAAGACCTCACTATTCGTTGAAACAGCCAACTATCATGTATGAGGAGAACAGTTATGTGATTCGAAAACAATTTTGGAAGACCTCACTATTCGTTGAAACAGCCAAATATCATGTATGAGTAGAACAGTTATGTGATTCAACTTCATAGGAGGACGGTAGATATAATCCGTTTCTGTCGAAAACAATTTTAGTCAGCAATAGCTTCAACTCCAAAAGTCAGAGACTCCCATTCAGAAGACGTACAAAATGCGTCTGAAGTCGCTGTCAATATTACTCCTCTGTTACGTTATTCAGTAGGTTTAACATATGTATTCTGAGAAATGTGGAGGTTGAAATGAGTGAATGCCACAAACTAATTTCAAGATGTGTTTAACAAAAGCGTACAAGTAAATACGACGACGCCAGCTTTCCAGTTAAATTTCCCGCCATTTTCCATTTTCTATCTGTTTTTGGATCTCACTCTACGGTCTCATTCTAAGTCATTCTTCTCCTCAGCACAATCGTGATCACCATCAGCAGCAGCTTTAAGCTGTTACGGGATGCAGGTTTATTCTAGTTGCAAGAATATCCTCGGATTGGTGCACTTACCGTTATTGGCATTATTATCACTGTCAACACACTGCCGATGTTACAACATTATCACAATATTATCGGCGTAGCCATCATGTTTATCAATCACCGTGAACCTAGAGCACATCAAACTGTCACTTGGTTCTTCGAGAACGGATTAACAACAGAGAACCCAAGTAAAGTTCAAAGATTGTTGCATAACCATTTTCCCTGTTCATCGTGTATGCAGTGTTGCCGGTAGCGAAGGCTTGGGGTAATACGGTCAAAGACTACATGAAACAGCTGGATCTGCACGTCATCAAGAAAACAACATGGGTCGTAACTTGTGCGTATCTGAGAGTGGATCGTTGGCAGCGTCCACCACATTTCGGGAGGTAGGGGTCGCTTTATGAAAAGTTAGTTGAGTAAGTAAGTAAATATGCAGCCAGGTGAACAGACCAGCAGATAAGCGATAATGTGCGTTTGAAGGAAGCCAACAGCAAAAGAATGTCGTGTGGGCTCCATTGTATTAAAAAGAACGGTTGGGCGGTATCATGGGGGCAAACTGGGATACATGGGATTGTCGAAAACGTGGGCGAGTGCGGTCTGCACGGTTCTTAGTATACGTACTTATTATTAAAATGCAGGGCAACTTTGATCAACGATTTTCTTCTCCACTTCTTGTTAGCAGGGAAAGCTGCGTCCAGAGAACAGCAAAAAATGACAATATTTGGGATCGAAAATATTGATATTCCAAAAGAGATCAATCTCACGGCACATTTCGTAGGAATGCAACAACTTGGTGGTGTTCGAACAAGTGAATATTGAAAGAAGAATGGATCCTGATTCAACGTTGTAGTGAGTAGCTTGCAAAAAAAGCAACAGCCTCAACCAAGTATATAAAGAATAGCATAATATAATGAACAATAACAAGATGAGTGCGCAGAGAAACGTAAAATGCTATTACTGAAATCCTAATTGCTTGCGAAACAAAGGGTCCGAAATTTCCCATCGTGGGGGACAGATCCAAGCAATGAGGTATTTCAGTGAATTCTGTTTCAGAGTCAGACTGGACGATCAGTGAAACCTGGAATAATAGATACGGGTGCTTTGCTGTTAAAAAACGACGGAGAAAGTCTTCACTATCCCACGATGCATGGAATCAATCAACCGCATGCCATTCCTGGTGTCGTTTCACGCACCTTGGTATTGAACCACGAAACACGCAGCACTCTCTCAACGGACACCAAAAAGGCTGCCAAGAGGAACTCGAATTGGTAGTCACAAAACCCGACAGTGATGTCAGACTAAGTGGCCGGCATACTTATCGGGTCACATGGGTGTTCAACTGATAAACCAGACAAAATGTGGTATGCGTACAATGCACGTGTGCTACGCATTCCAGTTGCAACAGAGGCTGATGCATTAAACAATTTCGAACAATAACTGAACCACCAATTGCGCTTGCACAGAAGGGGATGACATCATTTTCACTACTCGAAGAATGCTATCACCAAGGCTACCCAATTTAGATAAGGACAATCAAAGTAGTTCTCCGAATGTTGCGTTTCATCATCCAGGAAATATCCAGTTTGGCACAGTTCATGCTTCCTTTACGGTCCAGATTACTGAGTCTATTCCCCCATTCACCACAGAGAATAAAGTAACACAGTAGTTCCCCAATGCGTTTACCCCTAATAGGGAACAGTGCTCTAAAGGTGGGTTCCGCGAACTTTGCCATTTGACCAATGGGTACATCAGCCCCCAAAAGATGGAAATTTTTGGTGATTTAGGGGCCCTCTACGTCCTGAGATGGACTGCCATTGATTTCAAAAGTCAGGAAACGTGACCCCTGCTTGATATGAGCTGATTTCTGTTTAACTGTCATGATGCAGGATGTTCGCGCTTAAGCACGGCTCTACCGATTGCCTCCCAATGAGCTTGATAACCAAAACCAACAGTTCCATTGTTTGTGCCTGCTGCACTGAACCATGAGATAACCTAGAGTCTGGGTACAACTGTGGATGGTGTAACTGTTCTAGCCAACAATTCAAAGCAATGGCTAGCTGAGCCAAACGATGATAGATCAGTTTATGTGACCATTGATCGAGTGGTACTGTTCGAAGCTCTCAGCTGATCAAGTCACGAGAACTGAGACAGTCCTAACCACCAAGGGTCAAATGCAGATCGGTTAGCTACGGCGAAAATGCTTCCCCGAACACATCCAACCTGCTAGAAAGTTGCCGTCATACGCAGATCATCTGTGATTGGACTGTAGATTGTATCTCGGACCAAATATAAGTTAGATAACAAAATCTCGACACCAGTGACGGTCCACTAACCACATTAAAAAAAACGCAATTTGAGAACTCTCTGTTAGTGATCGACGACCACAAGACGCATATAGTTGCACTCCTTTCAATGTATATCTGACAGGACATCGCCAACGATGAGAGGAAAGAGGGACAGACGTTAGCAATAGTCGCAATCTGGTTCCCTTGTGTAACGAAAGTTGGCCTCTATTCATCATTTTAGAGCAATCATAAAGTTGTCCCAGCGTCAGCCTCCTATCCGTGCTGAGACCAGGGTTTCAACAGTTGGACAACATAATGCTAGTTGACCGTAAACACGCACATTTGCGATTGTTGATCTGATAAACACGGTGATTTATTGTGCTGTCGAGAGCCACTCAGTGGTGGATGAAACTATGCCAATGCAGGTATATAAACGTTGACTGTAGTCAAGCTAGTTAGACAATGGAAACGGATTTATGGGTCTGAAACTCGAACCCATCTACGTTCCTTCAGTCTTGTTACTAATCTGGCTCCTACAGTTTCAGTTACTGAGAGTAGAAAGGACAGGGACAGCGAGCAACGCGTTGAAAATGATGAATTGCAACAGTTTGATGTTGTCAAAATACCAGTAACTCGGTGGCGCGCACTGACGATGTGCAAAATGTTTGCAAGCTAACTGCCACATGGTCAAAAGCCCGAATTTGAATGTAGTTAGTGCGGGTGGCAATCCTTGGGTGAATAATGCAACAAAACGCGCCAAAGATGACAGTTCTGTGATGGTAAATTTTTTTCGGTGCCTCCGACGGATGACACCCACTGTTGCAACGTCTTTCACCAATAATCTGATATTTACCAATACAGATTAGTTTGCTGAACGAGGGTCTCAAATATAATTTCTAGGTGATTGCCAAACAGCCTTTGGACTGTTTTTATCCAGCGTATGACTGAATGCAAAAAGCTCTGCCGGGCAGACAGGATGGTTTAGTGGTTAGGGCACGAATTTACTGACCGTGTTCGAACCCGACCTCTGCATTTCGACTTCTCCTGTCTAGGCTTGGGCAACCTGGCAGTATCCCATCCCTCGTGCTTCCTTCGGGTGGCATGGCAGTTAACACCGAGTGTTACGACTGAACAATTTTTTTATATTGTCCCGTGTCTCGACCACGTGTTGAGCGCGTACACCAGGTGATGCGATCACTTGCTGTTGACAGTGAAGTTCTGGGATCCCAGATGATATTGAATTCTATAATTCAAGTGATTTTAACACACAACAAGATCCGAAGCGGCGATCGCCCGGTTGGTTTTGGAGCATTGTACCTTCTGGATACAATTTGCTGATCGATGGTGTAAAGCATTGATACACTTTTGTCGCGTCCAGAATTCACTCCAGCATATCCCACCACCTGTCTGCGGATGAATACCTTCGTACAGTAACACCGGTCGGCAATTGATAGACCGCCATTCGCAAAGATGTTGAAACTTTCACTGCTCCTGACAGTGAACGTGGTTAGAAAGTTTTGTTTTCTGTAACCTACATTGGTCAACCTATTACCACATTCTTACTGATCTGTTAACGAAAAACCCAATGCATTTAGCGAAGCAAGGCATGTTCCATTGGATCATCAGATCTGCTAGGCACTACTAAAGTACTCTATGTCAACGGTTGTAGCTTCACAATCCTTTTATGTTGTCTCCGTTGTTCTACCTCCTACTTCATCTTCCGTTTGTTTGTCTGTTCCCATCCAAACCTGTAACCTATCTCAAATAGGGTACATGTGTTGCTCGATATCTGTAAAGACTTCATTCATCGATAATCATCATAGTACTGGCTAAAGACAAGCGGTAAAAACAATTGTGGGTCGTCTGGACAGAGACTGAAACCCTTATTGTCACTTATTTGCCTTCCGGCTAGTTCAGCTTATTGTCTAATTCCCACAAGGTCCTGTTGGGAAAAGATGGGATGACATTTACATAATGGGCTTGGGGTCCTAATCCGAATCACTATCTAAAGACTAACCGGGAGCAAAGATCCTAGAGATAATTGAAACTCCTGAGGAAATGGTTTAATTGGTATCCGTGGTCTGTGGAGGACGCACCTAGTGCACATGCGATGAATAGTGGCGACCATACACAAAACGAAGCAGTAAGTGATGTAGCAAATATGTCAGAGGCTAAAAGCCACAGTACTTATATGCTCGTCACTAGGGCAAATACGAACTGGACGAAGGGATGATCGGGCAACTGAACGGTCGGCGGTATACAGCTACTACTTACTTAGAAGAGCAGTGTAGGACAAATTCAGTACTCACAGCCTTGAGCACAATCATTCCAAAAAAGGAGTTGGCTATTGGTTACGTGAACGTCGCGTTCAAAAACAACCTATCTACAAACACTTCGCATTTCCGAATGAGCCAGCTCTGACTGTGTAGGAACAACCACCAACAGTTATAAAAAAACTGGCATCAAACCAGAGCAAACGGCAAGGGCCGTCGGAGGCGTGGCTTGCCAAATCCATAATATTATTATAATATACACAAGCAGTCTGTTTGCCCTCTCTTCCGCTTACACGTGATGCAAAAATTCACAGGGCTGGTGCGATAACTATCTACTTTGAAAGACAGCTTTATCTATGCTCAGTCAACCAGTACAGAAAAACCCTTCAGTCGAACTGGGAAATGGTGAGAAATGGGATGCAAGTAAACACAGGTTGAAATAATCAATCAGGACGAACCAGAGACGGAGGATTTATTTTTCACCACTTCTGAACACTCTAAACACTTCTGAAATTGATGTCGAAATTCAGGGTCCAGACACTGGATTTCCAACATTGCAATCAATATACTACGAAAAAAGTGGGAAGATTGTTGGTCGTTCAAACAATGATGTAAAAAATGATCACATATCAGTTTTATACACAAAAGTCTATCCTCTCTGTGAACTGCTCCCCACCCAGCTGTTCCAAACGCGGCGTAATGGAAGGGGGAACGACCCACACAGTCTAGGGGCAACAGCCAATCAGTGACAGGGCAGACAGAATTCTGAGTGCGCATCCAGAGATCGATGATGTAGCTGACAATTCGGTGTTGACCAGAACGACAGGCAAGATGAAGTGGATGAGCTCCAGCTAATCCACTCGAAGAATCTGAAGGCACAGGAGAAGTTAAGGAACGCGGACCAAGGTGGTTGATAACGAGTTCTAAACATTCCAGCTGAAAGGAAAAAAGAGACTAATCACTCAGTCTGTTGATGACATTGAGCGGTAGACGAAGCCGAGGTGAATTAAGATGGCACCCTGGAGAGAAAAACTAAGGAGTCATAAATGGTGATACGGAAAGGTTTATAGAGAAACGGACCTACTCCTCGATCGGGTCCCTCTCATCATGAGACGGTAACTTCATAAAATGTGGGTGGTTGTGACCTATACAGTTACGTACAGTGATTGCACAGAAACTCGCCAAAAGACAACCCACTCCGCCACAGAGTCCATAACAGTATTTTCCGTCATGCAAAACCTGACGACTTATCTTGTCATTCTGGCCCCAGATGTCAATTATCCTTCCTTCGATAGTGGTTACCGTTGTATTGAATCAGAAGACAGATAAGCAACTAATCAATCGAGCATCAAACGGCCCTTGTATTTTAAGTAGACACATGAACCAGGGTTCTACCAGTCAAAGCAGGTCAGTTAAATTTTCCGACCTTGCTATCATTTGAGTTAAAACTTAAAAATTGGGTACACACCTCACACCTCCCACATTGTACGCCATTAATCTAGGCCCATCGGATGAGACTGAATGAGTTTCGGTAAGTCAGTTGTAAAATACTAGCGAAACAGGAGATTCGCTTATCTTTCCGCTTCTACGACAAGACGCTACATGAACAAGAACGGCTCAGTATGGCCGGTAAGTGACATTTCTTTAAGAAACACAGGCAGGTTGTGAAAGGTAAAGGTAAAAACTGTATTAACTTGTTCTCTACTTCCTTCGTACTGTCGAGCACGTACCTTATGGGTCATTAAAGTACAGATTAGCAGATAGTGAGCATTCAAGTTTGATTCGGCTTTACCAATGGTCTGTACTTTGCGCCTATGAACTTGGCACACCCCACCATTCACCTAACTCTCACCCAGCTTGGTGTTCCTGCCAAAGTTGTTCTCAAATTAGGAATCTGAATTCGAAATGCAAAGTCCTGCCTTGGATGGCATTTATATTTTATTCAATCTGCTTGACTACCGATTGGCTGACATCTTTTCTTCTGGATACCAATACTATTTGGTTTGGTAGGTAGACTTAGGAAGCTGTGGACTATTAATGTCATGGAAAGATATCTCATAATTTATGTTTCGTTGCAATATGAAAACTAGTTCGTATAGAAGTAATTCACTACCCATAAAGTTGCAGAAAACTCTCCGACAACCCAAGACCGGTTCCGCCTTTTTGGGCCTCACAAGGTAGGCACAGTCTACACAATGTATCCAGATTTCTGGAATATCGCACCCACTGAAAATTAGGCGGCCTGCTGCAGCACATTCAGTTGCTTAAGAACACCATAAACGAGAGACTCGGCTGGGTTCCGCGTGAGCCGTCCGTCAAAACCAAGCCAAACGAGTGCGTTTGACAACAAGTAGTCATCTGTTTGTAACCACTTTCAATTGCAATAGCGGGGAATTCTCACATTGAAGTCACTATGGCCGTTGCTAGTCACAAAAGTTGCCATTTAAAGTCACCCACCTGTGAGCATATGCCCGGTAAGGTTTTACATCCCGAAAAACAGTCACTTCATGAACCGGGATTCTGAACATACGGATTATAAGTATTTCCTAAGCCTTCCAGAGAGCTGACTGACATAACTACCAAAACTTTGATGTCATGTTTCTGAACCCCTTGTAACCGCTGACAATCCTGGTGAATAGTGGGTCACTGCTGAACAAGGACACTCCAACAGGTACGGATCTACTTACAGAATCAGACTATCAGATGTGACGAAAGCTATGCTATAGAGCATTCCATTGCACCTTGGAAGTGAACTACACAGAGGCTTCAGTTGTTGCCCTAAAAATCGTTCAGCAGTAGCATCTTTTTGGTACCTAGCTGCCATGCCACAGGAAGGAGGCACGAGGGATGGGATACTATCAGGTTGCCCAAGCCTAGACACGGGAAGTCGAGAGGCAGAGGTCGGGTTCGAACCACGGACCTTCCGGTCAGTAAATTCGCACTCTAACTACTTGGTCTATCTCGCCCCCAGTTGCCCTAGATTGTTCGTATATGTACACAGAAATCTAGGGCTGAGCACGGTTCTTGAGGTATGGGACAAAAGTGTTAATTAGAAAAAATGCTGCCTCCCTGGGAACGTAACCTACCTGTCCGGTTTCTGAGCACATATGTGTTGCTTGCTGACCCATAATGTCCCGTGCAGTAAGCTGTTTAACTGCATCAACCTGTAGCAGCACATCAACCAAACAAAGCAAACCCCTTCGCAAAGCGTCAAACACAGGAAGAGTACCACAGTTATCTGGTAGGAATCGTAATGAAGGTGCACGCTCCAGAATAAGTTGCGCAACGGTACGAACGTCTGTTGGTGACGGGGTCTGACAGCAAGCCAGACAGTGTAGAACCGTCCGACCATTGGAAGTTCGTGTGAATATCGTGTTTGGGGAGTGTTTCAATAGCCGAGAAACAATAGATGGGGATGCTGCACGAACAGCTACCTGAAATAGATAGAAATCAGGAATATATGGAAAGAGGAAGTAGAGCATACTATTGGTGGACGAAGAAGCAAACAAGAGCCACCATGTGAGTATAATTAATGTTAATCTCGCGTTATCACCATCAACACTGACGGTATCTACACCGAACAACGGTGGTGTTTCGCCACTGTATAACCATGCCAATTTGCTCTAATATAGTCCTGCAGTAGAAGGAATAAAAATGAGAGAGGCGAGCTTACCGTAAAAATTTCACCCGTCTAAACATAACAAAACCTATTCCCCTTAGATGGAAACTGAGCACGAACGTCAGTAATATCGTCTCAGAGACCCATTTTTAGCGTCTCCAGCTAGAATCAGGAAGTTCACGCAGACACCGTTTTTGGAGGCGGATGGCAACAGTACGATTCGAAATTTCCAATCTAATTCAGTCTGTTCTACCATACCATAGTTTGTAAGGAAAACGTTCCGACAATTGGACGACAGCAAAAAACTGTGCATCCGACAGTCTCAAGAGACGTAAAATTTCGTAGAACCAGTGGCTCTATTCGATGACTTAGCTTTCGTCCTGCCCTGATCATCATTCGCTTTGGAGATAACGGAACTCCGGATGATGAAAACGGTACGGTAACTTTGGACTACTCGTAAGTTAAATAGTAGGCCTGCAGCACGTATGTGCAAAAGCTTCCTATTCCAAATTGTTCAATGAAAGTGCGGATAATTCGGCGTCGTAATTCAGGCTCCCGCCCATGTACTGAATATTTACTCCACGCGTACGTTGCCAACAATGTTTTCCCCAACAAAAAAACGAATGTCTGATGTTTGCCTTGAATGAATAACCACAGGGGGAATCACACGACCCTTAATTGTGCGATATCCCTCCCGTAGGGTTCTGCTGGTTTGCACCCTGCGACAAAATCACGTGACAAGCATGTTTTCTAAAAATGCAGTTACTTTCGTGTCAGAAAATTCCGGTTTTATGTGAGATTGGAAAGATCAAACACACAGACCTGCTAAATTTTGGCTTCAAAGACTTCCAGGAAGCACAAAACAGGATACAGGACAGAAAAAAGCCTACAAAATGGTAAATGATTGTCTGATTTTCAACCTCATCCTGCCTAATGTCAGACAGAAAGCGATCTATTTCCCATCTACGGGACACATCAATAAAGATAGGAATTGGCTACGTACCGGAGATGAAAATTCGGAAGTGGTGACTCAACCGGGTATTTCCTGCAGTCCACATAATGCAACATGACAACCTGGGCGGGCGTACACATACGACGCACGATCCCATCCCACCATCGTACCGGAGATGAAAATTCGGAAGTGGTGGCTCAACCGGGTATGTCCTGCAGTCCACATAATGCAACATAACAACCTGGGCGGGCGTAAACATACGACGCACGATCCCGTCAAAGCCACCATCTTTAATCCCAGAAGATTGAAAATTTACAGGGTGGTGGGTAGTGCTGAGGCACTGATGCACGGAATTTCGAGGACCACAAGTTTCCAAAAGTTACAGAATCATAAAAACGGCGGAATGGCTAGGAAAAAAAGCATGTGATTACAGTGACCATCCACCGCATATTACCTGTTCATTTGCGCGAAATCAACCTGCTGTAACTCACCCTTCCTTCGGGTGGCATGGCGGCTGGGCACTGAAAGGTGCTACAGCTGAAACATACCCATGAATTTCAATGGCAGAAAGATGGATGTGTTAAGAATCAGCAATGGGATTCTGGGAGTATGATGGACGTGTCAGGAAGAAGCCCTAGACTCTGGTGTGATCGGACATGCCGAATGGCTTCGACGTTCAAGGTCAGTTGGCTTAACGGGTATCGGTCGTGCGTGGGATAATGGAGACAAATAAACACAAACGATTGTAAATTACTAGGAACACGTATAGGATGAGTGCGTCAAAAACAAGTTCTTTTCCTGAGACACACTCCAGATACGTAAAACAGACTGCGCCTGCCGTCTAATATTTTTGCGCCATTTTCTTACCGATATTTACGAGTTCCAAACCACATAACTAATGTGACATATCATCGGTTAAAGTGACAGCTTAAAGGAAGTTCACAAGTTGTGGCTGTCGAACCGAAATATCCAATGCACTTCCTAAAATTGCAGTCGATGACTTATTGGTTCAGCGAACTGATGGCAGCTGGCTTGAAGGTTGGGCTAACCAGAGTCTGAAAGTCAACGAGCTGGTCGGTTATCATCGAAATCAACATACAGAAAATATGAAATTCAGTGTGAGACAGAGCTACGAAGAAGCCATGATGGCGCTTTCAACGTAGTGCCTCTATACAGGTGTTGCAACTAGAAAGAACCCACCACTACACCCTCTGACTAAAAATAAATATACGAAAAAACGGATTGGATTAAGAATGAAGCCAGAGGTGTAAACAAAGACAGTCGTAGGTATGTGGTGGAATGTCTCATGTTTGAAGGAAATCTACTCGCTAAGCAATTGGAGTTTTAAGCAATTACACGTGGATTTATCTTGAACTCTTGGGCGTGGCTAATGCTCCCTGTTTTAGAGCTGACAGATTCTCTTGCACCACTGATTCATCGAAATTATCAAATATTAGAACAGTTGGCAGAAGACAAGTACAAATAAATTCAGGCATTTTGAGGTTGGTATTGAAATATATTGCGCCAGACTTACATGCAGACAATTCCATCCGTCCTTATTTGTGAATGAAGGATCTGCTCCATGTTGGAGCAACAACTCCACACAGTCAGTGAATCGATGCAAAGAGGGAGTTGAAATCATAATCTGTTGATCTAGCTTATTCGCACTTGCGGCGCAAGCCAACATCAAAGGGGTCCAATCCGCACGTTTTAGAGGATCCACTGGTAGTCGATTTGAACAAAGTAGTATTTTGACACATTCAGCAGCACCAGTTTGAGCGGCATCGTGGAGCGGTTGTTTGTTGTGATGGCTGTGTAGGGCGACATCAGCATTTTCACTAACGGCTAGACCTACCAGCCATGACAGTCCGAGACGAGCACCTATATGTACCAGTGTATCACCCCGATCCGACTTCCGTAGTTGCCACACATGTGGACGACTCCGTGGCGGAAGTTCGGAATACAACTTCAAGAATTCATCTTTGTCATTAGATTCAACTGCCGCGAAAAGCTGTTTACTCTCAACACATTTTATTGTGAAATCCGAGACAGATGGTGGCGCGGATAACTCTGACATTCGGCGAGAGTTCTTGCTGAAGGAAAGAACAAAGAAATGAAACATGGACTACGGAACAGATAGAAGATAATCTAGCGATCCACAGACAATAGATTATTCGGTGAGATAAAGTTGTATTGACTTTCCTACGACAAAGCGTATGCAATTTGGGGACTCTGTGCTAAGAACAGTGATTGCTTCTCCCTCCTTCGACAGTGAAAATAAAAAACGAACCAAAACAAGGAGCAGGCATTCACATAATTCGGGTTGGGTGCCAAGTCGGGACAAAGGTAAACAAAAACTGATTATCTAAAGCATACCAGGGAGTCAAATCCCGGTGCGTCAGGATATAGATGTGTGCGCAATTTCGCTTTAAATCCCACTTTCGTCCCCGTCGTCTTACGTGGTGTGAGGGTTGGTGCACCATTGTCGTCCATTGGTACTCCATGTCTTGGGTATACGTGTGACACTTGCAGCCATCTATACTACGTTGATCAGTAACTGACAGTAACCTCGCTCTCGCGGGTGAGACAAGTGTGACAACTCATCTTTTCAGTTGAAACTGCCGGCATTCCAGGATCAAGCCTTTAAATCAAAGATTGCAACTGAGGACCGAGCCAATATAATCATCATTTACCAGAACACTGCAGTTTCATTCTTGTACAACAATGTCTCATAGTTGAAAGAGGAAAGGTCGGACAGGGAGATGGACCTAGGGCTAACCTACCATAAACAACCGAGGTGCCTACACTTCCATCACTGTCAGACAGTCGGGATAGAAAGTGACAGCACGAGGGCCATCGAGACATCGGCCGGCCGCCATATAGTTCAGTTAAGCACAGATTCATGTAAACCCTATGCTGGAAAGCGAACAGCAGCAACAGCATCCAAACCTTTTAAAATGTCCATCACTATCTTCTGTCATGTCGAATTCTGTCAAAGCATGAAAGCCTTTACCAGGTTGGTAACTGTCGTCTTCCCGGATAGGAAACGCAGAACGATGGTGATCGCACATCAAAGCTATTGCCTTCACTTCGTAGCTCTCACTTCATGGCATACGAGACAAACAGAATCATTCGGCCTCAACAAACTGATCGTACCATCACCCCTAACGCGTGGCTCTCGCTTCCACGATGAACAACCTTGTAGCAGCTGCAACCATTCCAGGATGCGGTTTTTAGCCGGAGAACTGAAGGAGGTTGGAAGCCGAGCCATCCAGAACGATGGTGGTCGTACATCAAACCTATTGCCTTCACTTCGTAGCTCTCACTTCATGGCATACGAGACAAACAGAATCATTCGGCCTCAACAAACTGATCGTACCATCACCCCTAACGCGTGGCTCTCGCTTCCACGATGAACAACCTTGTAGCAGCTGCAACCATTCCAGGATGCGGTTTTTAGCCGGAGAACTGAAGGTGGTTGGAAGCGAACCGAGCCATCTGGCAAAAACTAATTGAATTTACCAACTGGCAAGACTTGACATCTAAAGACATTCAAAAGCTTGACCACCGATACCTTCGCAGCAAATACATTGTAACCAATAATAGTTCGAAAAAAGAATGGAGCCAGTCAGGTTGTGGGGGTTGGGATACGTAAGTTCAGCTGTAGCATTCTTCCGGTGCCTAGCTGCCATGTCGCCGGAAGGAAGCACGAGGGCTTGGATACTACGAAACTGCCTAAGCCTAGACAAGGGAAGTCGAGAGGCGGAGGTGGGACTCGAACCTCGGATCTTCCGGTCAGTAGATTCGCGCTCTTACCACTTGGGCCATCTCGCCCCCTGGGATACGTACCATGTCCGTCTATGTGAAGCGCTGATTTGCATGCCAAAAATTTACTAGCGAAGAGTTCGAGGAGTTAGACCATCTTACGGCAGCACGAAATGAAAGTGCTTAGTTAGCATGGGTGTTGTGAGATCTGTCCGACTTCACAATGGAGGGCTATGTGATTATCCATGTGCGTAGTTCGAGAGCCGATCACAGTGACGAACACGCTGTCACTCCTTGGTGGGATTACCCAAACAAAGTATGCCCAGTACTGCATTCCATCACGAATTGACCGAACCTTACCCTGGCGTGACGGTTTGTCCACCTCCAGGACCCAATGAGCTATACTGGTGGAGTGGAGGTTGTCCGGACGACACTCGCATAGTCTCCGACATCAATTTGGTCAATCAATGGTTAGAGGTCTGACCAACACAGTCTCCTGGTCCTCCAGGATGGGGACTGAAACTTGTTCCGTAAAAATCCCAACCTAAAGCTGTCACATTGTCTTGATGGTCGGGCTATACTGGTGGGAACTTAGTTCCTAAAGGTTGAGCCGTCAGGAAGAGCAGCGAGAAACAGCTTAACGAAGAACAACGAGTCTACATACTGCGAGTAATCGTATAACGAGGTGGTATGGAGGTAAAGTCGTGCTGAGGAAGCAAGATGGCTCAAAGGTTATAGGGCGAATTTACCGACCGGAAAGTCCGTGGTTCGAACCCGAACTCCGCATTTTAACTTCCCCTGTCTAGGCTTGGGCAACCTGGGAGTATCCCAGCCCTCATGCTTCCATCGGATGGAGTGGCAGTCAGACACCGAAAGGGTGCTACAGCCGACGACTGCGATAGGGGTGAGAGCAGGTGACCTACAGATAACCGCAATAGCCATACTTATAGGAGCAGCGATCCTGAGTTCCTCCGAGGAAACGGGTTAGAAACCGAGCACTCCGATCACCCAACGGTTGACCGTGACCTCCAGTGAATTATTCGATACAGTTGAAATACTTTTGGAACCAAAGAGTCCGGTGATGCACAAAAAGCCCTTGCTGTGTGAAGATGCATTGAGAGTGAGACAGCAATGTATTACTCTCTGTGTATTCGGGTCAGGCTGGCCCCCTACACCCAAGTGGGTCAGACTATTGAGTCGCGGACTCAGAGAAGGGCCCCCCAAGAAATCGTAACTAGTGCCTCGCGGTTCAGAATTTTGATTTAGAAGTTACGGGCAGGGTCCCCGAACAAAATCCTAAATCATTCCACTCCATTGTGGATCAGACTTGTGAGTCAAAAGCTCAGGGTGGTGTACCTCAACCAACCCCCTTTTTCAGCCTGGGCAACCGAGGAGTATCATTCGCCCTTGAAGCACATGGCTCACTGATGTTCTCTCACAGCACTTCCCCACCCACCGAACGATACAGTTCGATGAACCCATCTGCCAGTTCCCTGGACATTGTTCCGTGACTGAACCTTCGCCAAGGAAAATAAAATAATAAGGTGGGAAGGGCTCGGATGCGCCACATTTCACTCTTCGGGTACCCAGTGATCTTGACGCAAAGACTAGTAGTATCTGCAATGCGTTGGGTTGAATTCAGCCCCATGGTTGAAAGTGCCTTATTAGGCTGGATCGCAGTAAACAACCGTCTTTTTGTTGTGCGATTGCTCGGCCTAATTAAGATCAATGCGAGTCCATGCAGCAAACGGTGCAATTTGTCCTATCAGCATACGCCCCGACAGACTGCAGTACTGAGACTGAGAAGGATGGGTTTTATCAAGACCTGTCAGGGCTGCTTCGGTCAGCAAGAAGGATGAATATAGTAATCCTGGCGGGGGATACGAGTGCCCAAGTTAAACGACTGAGTCCGGAGGAAGCACAGTTGGGTGGTAGATTTGGAGTCCGCGCTCAGCGTATGGATGAGGAGCGACTTCTTCAGTTATGTGCAGATCATCATCTGCTGCCTCCAGCACAAACGCTCACATCGAGTTAGTCGGAGGCCATCAACCACAAGACAGTCATGAACTCAAATGGACCGCGTTGCCGACGGAGAGCTGCAATTCAAAACTATCGTTCCCTTTAGGGTACGCAGCCTGTCTCTGATCATGCCGTTGTGCGACCCCGGTTATCATTCCGCTTTCCGTCAGCATTACCCGCGCCAAAGGACAGCAGTCCCATTCATCAAATTCGACAGGCTTCAGTAGTTCAAGAGGATCGAACTGACCCGGCTAGAAAGCTCTGGGAACGCAGTCATGAGGATGACGAAGATTGCCTGAAGGTTGAATGGGAGCGAGTTGAATAAGCTGTGCTCTCAGCTATCATAGCTGTTTGTCCAAGCCATCTGACACTAGATATCACCGAGACAGATCTTATGATTGCCTGAAGGTTGAATGGGAGCGAGTTGAATAAGCTGTGCTCTCAGCTATCATAGCTGTTTGTCCAAGCCATCTGACACTAGATATCACCGAGATCAGATCTTATTGCTACCAGAAAGTCCATACCAGCAACTAGCGAACGTGATGCCCAACGCAGATAGTTTAAACACCGGATAATCAGGAGCTTGAAGAATGACAGAGAATGTCGGTGCATTGTGAAGACTCAGGAAATAGACCGCACTGTATTGTTCCAAAGCCCAAACCACACTTCATTTTAAACTAAATAGCAAACCAGAACGCTCTGTTGCTTACGCGGCTCTTGCATCTGTGGACGATGAACTCGATCGTCTTCACATTTCATGTGTTATACAACTTGTCAACTACTCTTCCTGGGCAGCTCCCATTGTTGTGGTCAAGAAGACGAATGGGAAGATCACGATTTGTTGGTATTATTCCACAGGCTTCAATGCTACACTTGATTCACATCAGTATCCTCCCCAGTTGCAGATGACCTGTTTATCAAACGCAATGTATACACTTGTTTTGTCTAACTCGATCTGTCCGATGCTTACTTACAAAACGAAGTTGCGAATGACTCCAAGGATCTTCCAACCATTAGCATGCACCGTGGTCTTTTCCAGTTTAATCGTTTTCACTTTGGAGTAAAAAAGGCATCAACCATGTCCCAACAGACAATGGACACAATGATTAATGGGTAAACGGACGTCGTGGTGTACTTGGAGGATTTCACTGCGGCAGCCTCTGATCAGCAAGAATTCCTTTATCGGCTTTCGTCTCCGAGCGGAAAAATGTGCATTTTCTCAAACATTGGGCTAGTTTCGATAAATATGACCGTCATTCTGACCAGGACAACTTTGATGCGATTCAGAGAATGCCACCACTGACAGAT